TCCGGGTGCCGCGGCTCGGCTTGCTGATGGAGCTTGACCTGCGCTGATGTCGCCGTGCTTTGCCTCGCTCGACGTGAGCCATTGGTGGAACCCGTCCCAGAGCCCGGCGACGACCTCGGTCTGGAGATAGGCCTCTGTTTCTGCGAGGAAGAATATGGCGGCGCTCGCTGTGACCCAGGTGCTGCGCATGGCATTGGAACGTGCCATGTGGCGCTCACGAAGCAATGTCACCTTTGATCGACCGCCGCGGGTACTGCCACCTGGCGGTCCAGGTGGTGCAGGATGATGCCGTCGAAGGCTTGTAATCTTCCACAAGTCCGTAAGGCGTATGTGCGCCCGGCGGATAGAGAGTAGGTATGAGTTGATGGTTGAGTAGATCTGTAGGTCGGATGGAGCCAGGAACATGTCGAGGGGCGAAGGGATCTGCATCGTCAGCACCACAGGCACTGAGAAGAGGAGGTTGCGGAAAGGAGTTGTTGCGAGCGACCGTGACCTCTGCGGTGCAGTGACCGACCCGACCTTCACGGGGCTTGCTGGTTTGGACTTGGTGAGGTGCAAGCGCAGCAGGTCACGCCCCAGCTCGAGGCCTTCGTCTTCGTCTGCGTGCTGTCCTTGCATCAGCCCCATCGCCGCCCACGTCTTGGCCAGCACCGCTGTGACTTCGCCCTCTTTCAAAGCGAGGGTCCCAAGGCCTTCTCGTTTGTCGTACGCGAGATTATCCGCTCGTTTCCATCGGCTCCGAAGCTTCTCATCTGCTTGTTGTGTCAGAGCCATGGCGAACTCACCGCGACCGAGAAGGAAGAATTCGCGCAGCAGGCGGAGGATCTCGACAACTCTGCTCAGTGGTAAGAGCTTTTGAAGCGTTGTCCTGGATAGGCTCACGCGGAGAGCGGTGATGGCTCTTGAGAAGCTCGCTGTGTTGAGCGGATAGGCCAGGCTCGAGAGCTCCCGGAGTTGTGATGAGAGGTGGTCAAGCCCCATGAGGCCCGAATCGACACTGCTCTTTACGCGGACGTGGTTCAGCGATTTGCCGATGAACAACATGGAGGCTGCTGTCGTAGGCGTGACAAACTTGGGAAGCAGTGATGGTGTGATAACAAAGTCATGATCGCCGTCCTCCGCCAGTCGGACGAAGAAGTCGCCCTCGCCGTGACTCGGCAATCGGCCGTAAAGAATCCAGGCAGACACCTGCTTCAGCCATGCCGTCTCGGCAACCTTGACCAAAGTTAGAGCCGTCTGCTCAATGTCCATGTATCCGCTCTGCAGCTCAGTGCGCAGTCGATCAATCAGCTGAGCGCCGCAGCACTTTCCACCTTTGTGCTTGCCCAGAATGAACTGGACCACCTCTCTCAGCCACTCCAGACGCCTGGTCCATCCTGAGAACTCCCCAATGACAGCGGTCAAGGGTACGATATTGTAGGCGCCCACTAGACTCGAATCATGCCGCAAAATCGTCTCTTCCACCTCCAAGACTTTGCGCTGAAAAGCAGCCAGATGAATCGACTCGATTGCCGTTGCAACGGCCCGGCATATAGTCGAGGGGTGTTCTGCCGAAATCTGGGCCGAGTGGCCCAGGAGCTTGATGTTCAAGTCACTCAGATGTGCGGCGGTTGCGAGGAGTTCGCGTTCGGGGGGCGAGATGGCGGCAAAAGCGTTGGATTGGATGCCATCGGTTCGCAGGAGCGGTGAAGGGTGCCCGGACAAGGACAGGAGGATTTCGTGCAGCATAATGGAACGGGCGAACTACGATTGCAATCAGATCATCGTTGGGCGAAGGAGACATGGAGCAGAGTGACATACGAAGCACGCGACGGCAGCGTCGTTTCCGCTGGCCTCTTGGACCGAATCGAAGTGGCTAGGTCGTGTATGAGAAGAATGATACTGCCAAAGATCTCGAAGCGGCACATTGAGCTCGATCGTTTGTCGTGGAGCTGCCAGATAGTCCCCCCCGCCAAAATCCTGGTGGGGGTGGTGGTCCTGTTCGGAGATGCTCTATCCTACTCTTCGAACGACAAGCGAGAGGCGTGGAAGTGCTAGCTGCAGAGAAACTCTACAATCGACACATGCCGCGTGTCGCTCGAGGGACTTGTCTACCGTGGTGGTGAAGGTGAGGTGACCTGTTGACCACCATCGCGACGAGACGCGACTCTGACGTTGCTGCCCGATAAGCGCAACGGCGGGTTGAAATCACTTATCGTTAGGTAGACGCGCCCCACCCGCCCCGCCTGCCGTCTTCAATGCACCGGCGAAGGCATTACATGCCTGGCAATCGTTTCTCTGATCATGGTTGAAAAGAGTTTCAGATGCTGTTCATGTGTAATCATTGCTGTTCATAATCGTAGGTCTACTGGCCGCAGGAAAACAAAAACACAGGCATGGGCATCTATCAACACCGTAACCATCAAGTCTTCGCCGCCCCCCTTCAGATGGGCTTCTTGCCCTTGCTGCTGCCACCTTCGTAAGCAGTGTGAATGCTCGGGGCCCCGCTGATGTTCGTGTTGCTGTTGTTCCTCTCCAGTGTGCCTGGGGAGACAGTGCCACCGTCGCCGCCGCCCACGATGATCTGACCACCTCCGTTTCCCACCTTGCCGACTACCATGCCCTTCGCGACACTCTTCAGAATGGCTCGCCGGGAGACACCCGTGACATCGATGTAGACAAGACCAACATTCTTGAAGCCACCACCAATGTGCCGCGAGGCCTGGCCGGCCTCAGAGCCCCAACGGTGCTCGACCACCTGTGAAACACTCGAGGCAGTGCCACCCAGAAGGTTCTTGCCGGCTTGCTCGATACCATCAGCCACGGTATTGAAGGCCATAAGACTCTTGTTCAGCAGCCCCGGTTTGTAAGACTCGACTACGTTGCCGTCCTTGTCGTAGCCTCTACCGCTTCCGTCCTTCTTCCTACCGAGGGAAGCACCGAAGTTCTGCGCGTACCTGCCGATGTGAGTGACCGTCGTTGCCGACAGACCGGCAGCCTTTGACGAGAAGGTATTGATTCTACGAATTCGGTCGTGTGCTGCGGGCGTGAACGTGACAGGCTTTGACACGGGCTTGGTCTTCTGCGTAAACGTGTCGGCGCCGCTCTGCAAGCCCTTGGCAATAAGATCGGACGATGTAACGATCAGTCTGGATGCCTTCGAAGCGTTGTTCACGAGGAATGACCTCTTGTACGAAGGATGCATCACCATCTCGACGTACTCCTGGGAAGCTGGCTGTACTTTGACAGCCTGGGTGCTATCGGCGGGAAGCGTGATTTCGACAGGATCTGCGTCATTCTTGTAATCAGCCAAGTGTCTCTACCCCAAGCCGAACAACAAGGTGCTCAACCACTTACCTTTGGATCCGTGCTTGATACCGCTGTCATCGACTTGGTATCCCTCGGTCAACTCGCCAATGACACTACCATCTTCCTCGTCGACCAGGACAATCCTGCCACCCGGATGCAGGCTGTGGCTACCTTGCGCGTAAGCCTGGCCTGGCTCATAGTCCGCAGGGTTGTATGCAGGCAGTGGCTCGGATCCAGAAGCCCCCGATAGATTCTTCTCTGCAGCCCTGGTTGTAGAGACAGGAGGAACATCAGCCTTGGCTGCTTTCTTCGGAGGCGGAGAGCGTTCGAGAAAGGCGGTACATTGGGCCAGGATGGTCTCAAAAGTATCGACATCCTCCTGAAGACCTTGACGGCTGCCCGTATCCGGAAACTCAAGGCGGGTAAAGGCACCGCTGTCGGGGCCCAAGTCCCAACGGGGGATGAGGTAGCTTCTGGGAGGTTGGTGATAGATCTGGGTAGTGGCTGGCAGAGGAAGATCGAGCTCGGGTGGGAGGTGTAGGTGCAAGTAAAAGTCTTCGGGTGGAGTGTTTGTGCCAGTGGTGCCAGAGGCGTCTGCGAAAGGTGATGAAGTTGGTACCATTAAGAGGGAGAGAGTCTGAGGGCCAGCGGGCGTCAGAGACTCTTCCACGCCATTGGAAATATGGTAAGCCTGGACGCCATTGATGGCGTACAGAAGCTTAGGGTCCTGCAAGTAAGTCCGTAAGCAGGTCGATCGATATGATGCGCGACATCGGCTTAAGCCGCAGGGTCATAGGCATGTCATACATTGTGTCCCGAAGACATGTTCAAGTCCGCGTATGGAGGATGCGCCAAGCCAACAAAGGTAGGTAGTTTACGAGGTGCAGGATTTTGATTGCCGTGCAGTATTGAGTGCTGGGTTGACAGCTGGATTGAGGGGCGGAGCGGCGTGGGGGAAGTGCAGGACTGCGATGAAGGATGAAAGTTGATGGTTCGGAATTGGGATTCGTTCCTGATAGAGACCTGGATGAAAACCTGGCCCTGGTTTTGCAGATTCGCAGCTGTGACAAGGAGATATCAGATCGTCTCCTCCGCCCCTCCTTCGTCACAGCAGGGCGCTGGAACTGTGACGGGGTTGGTCATTGAAACGGTGCCATGTCGGAGGCGCTTAAGCATGGGCGCGAGAGGCCTCTCTGAATCTCCAGATGCGACGTCATTGGTGCTGCCATTCTTGGATCCATGTCGTTGGTGACAGCACAGCCACTAACCGCCCCAGTCGAGCTCGAAGCTTGTCTGCCCCTCCCCTCCTTCACTTTACTGAAAGGACGGAGTGATCGCCAACAATAGGATCTCCAAGACCGCATGAAGCTTTTGGCTGCACGTGAAGGAACTTTTGCCATTCCGTACGATGGCCAGGAATATGTAGGCCCTCATTTACCGTGCTGGATCACCATTGCCAAAAAATATAACCTGGTCCATCGCCCTTTCCAGAAGGAGGATCAACACCCCACCACTGCTTACCTGAGCGAACCGAGGTGGCTTGCTATTGAACATTATTTACCTGATGATTTCTCCCATCGAAGGCCAAGATTGCTCCCAGCACCCATGTCGGATACCTATACCGAGGTGCCGAGCTCCCTCTTTGCGGACCATGTTCCATGAATCTCTGGATTTTCAAGTTACTACGCTGCAGGCCGACTGAGTCCAATCGAATGGCAAGAACGGATGCAGAAGGACCTCCGCGCGTGCGGTCCAGTACAGCTTGCTTACGCTGTAGGAGGTCCAAGATCAAGTGCGACAACACAGGCCAGCTTGATGCTGCCTGTGAGAATTGCATCAAAGCAGGTCAGCGCTGCCAATGGCCAGACCCATCTGTGGTGCCACCAAAACGGACAGATGCGCCATCGAGTATACGACAAGACAGTGAGCCGGGTCGAGGAAGAAAACGTCCCAGAATAACTCCAGCCAATGCGCAAAGTGATGGTCAGCAGAACGCCGAAGATATTCTTTCGGCGCCTTTTCTTGACAGGCATGTCTGGGATCAGATACTGGCCACCTATAAGCTCCATTTCGCAACAGAGCTACCTTTCCTGCACACCCCCACGCTAAAGGACAAGATCTACCAGTCTCGGAGAGATCCAGCGACGGGTTCTTCAGAGCTGAATCTTGTACTGCTCGGAATCCTCGCCTTGACAGCGAGATACCACGACGAACTCGTTAAGTAGGTATGTTAATCGTCTCTCCCACGACAAGCACACTGTTGCAACCACCAATCATCAGGCCCGACATTGTGTGGCTCCAGACCTCTTGCCGCAAGACACACAGCCCGAGGCAAGACCGTGTGGAGGCCAATCCAGACCAGCAGCTGCCGCTGCCTCTGAATTCTTCGCGGATACTCTCGACAAAGCTTTGGGATCTTGCAGGCTGGCCATGACAAGAGCAACCGTAGAGCGCGTTTACGCACTCTTGTTGCTGGGTCTATACCAGTGGATATCACGAGACCATCAGGGCTTAGGGTCTTGGATGTACGTTGGCATGGCCATACGCATGGCACAGGCGCTCAAAATTGGGGTCGGAGACGTGGCTCAGTCCTTATCTTCCTCTCCGTTTACCGAGAAGACTCTCATTGATCGAGAAGTTAGACGGCGAACAATGTTCAGCTGCTTCATTCTCGATCGCATACTATCGTGCGGAAAAGATAGAGCTTCTTGCATACGCTCGGAAGACCTGCATATCCAGCTGCCCTGTTCTGAGGAAGATTTCGATTTGACTCGACAAGTCTATACTGGCTTTCTCCGGGGCTCGCTTGTCTCCGCTGCAGCCAGCCGCCCAGACAGCCCCAACATTCTCAGCAGTTTTGTACAGCTCATTGACATATGGGGAGAGATATCGCACTACAGCAACGCCGGCGGCCGTTTCTCCGAGGAACAAAGCGTTGCTCCATGGGAAGCACAAGCAAAATTCTCAAGACTCACCCGAAAGCTCGTCGACTTCAATACAAAGCTGCAAATGACTGACAGCTCTCTCGGGTTCACACTCTCTCGGAAGAATATTTCAAACATGACAGTAGTCGGCAAGGCTCCAGTGCGTTTGTTTCGCTGCACATGCTTATGTGTCTCTCAAAGATCATGCTTCATCGCGAATATATCCCATTCATTCCCGTCAGGTGCGGAAGACCCAATGGGCCGTTGGACGAGCCGACTTTTGCTCCAGACATCACTCCGCCGGGCTTCTGGGCGAGCAGTGCTAAGGAGCTCTTCCATGCTGCAGCTGAGATCTGTGATTTGATCGAAATATGCGGCGAAAAATTGCCACACTCGTCACTTGTGGTGTTTGCCATCTGGCATGCTGCCTATGTCGGGCTGTATGCTAGTCATTTCCCCCAAATGGACGTAAACAGGTCAGAGAGACGGCTATGCAGTTGCTGGTACCAACGAAAAAGGCGAAAACACCAAAGCAGCCTGGGACTCTCTTCATCGATTAGCTCGACATTCCAATCTCGCCGCCGAGTATGCCTTGAGGTTCAAGGAAGCTGATGAGTTCTACGCTAGAATTATCGAGGACTATAATCGAAACCATGACTTGAATCGGGCTCTAAATACACGACAAACAGGCCCGAGAACACGTAGTGTTCGAATGGGTGGCAATGGGGGCAGCGTTGAGGAATGGCATAAGAGGAAGGACTATCTCACCAACAATGGTTCCATCATTGGAGACGACTGGTGCCGAGATCACGACAAGATAGATCAAGCACGGTGCTGCTATCGGACCACGTTTCACCTAGCAGAGAACACTCGCGAGGCCTGGAGCTGGATTTGACGGCAGCTGGTGCAACACCTGCTGGTATGCAAAGATCACTTCGAGCCGATTTGGAAAACACGGATCGGTTGAGCCATATACCCCACGAACATGGCGCCGCGTCAAGGCGTGGAAACGGTTCAAATGACAATCAGCAATCCAGCGTGCTGGACCATTCGCACTTTGACAGCCCATCCTTGTATGACTTAACAGCGACGGATCACTACACAAGGCTCGATGCCGAGCTCGTCGCAGACATGGAGGGGAAGCCCTTTGGGTTCGGCTATCTGAACCAGAACGTTTTCGTGGGAGGATTCGATGAGTTCTCGCCTGGTGGATGGGAGGCCCCGTCACAGGAGGTTGCCAGGCTACTGTTCCCTCTTACGGAAGACGACGCATGAGCACGAAGGGATATGTATGCAAGGAATATGGCTGCCAAGCAGCGTTTGTGTTCACGGTCAAGTGCCCCCCACGTGCGTCGGCCTTGGGATCAGATTCCTGCACCATGTCGTCTGGTTGGTCGCATTGCTCTTCAGGGGCTGGTCAGACATGCTATGCTCCGAGTGATGCGAGCAGCAGCAGCAGCAGCAGCAGCAGTTTAGCCAACAGGGACAGTCCAGCACGGAGCAAGCCCCGCGAGGTGCAGCTGGGAGGATGGCGGGCGCACAGATTCAGGGCGGTTGATGCTCGAGACGCTGGTTGAGTAAGGTAGGCACATGTAAGGTAGGTAGGTGAGGGGCAAGCGCAGTTACCCCGCAGTTTACGGGTATCGGAGGCGTCAGGCAGTGGAGGCGTGACGTTACGAAGGCCTCATACCCGGCTGTCATGACCACTACAATCAGGGACAAATTGGTCATGGTTTCTTGGTTGCATGCACGATCGCGACGGCCACATCTCGGTCTCATCGCAGCATGGGTTCCCACCAGAGACGAGCAACGAGGGATCTATGAACGAGTGATGATAGCTATGGATCCAAAACGGCCTAGCACTGATCGCACAACACAGGCTCTTCGAATTGCGAGCTCTGCAACAGGATTGATCACCAAGCTTCGGGCAAATCACCATTCGAGCTGGCGACTTCACCGAGCTGACGGTTCAGCCAGCCTTACTCGCTCTCAGGATTGACAGTCCAGCGGCAGAGGACGCTCTGTCGGACTTCCCCCTGCCATGATGCCGAGAGGCTCGTCAATGGGTCGAGCTCACGGTACCTACTTGCCTATCTAGGTACCTAGCTACCTCGACTGCTACTCAGACAGGGATCTGCAATTCCCCCTACAGGCCGGGTTCGCAGCCGACGTAAATGACATGTCCAGCTCCAGCTCCAGCACCGGCTCTAGTACCTATACCTCCACGCCCTTCTGTCTTCCTCGAATCGGGCATAGTGCATCGACGCGTGTGTGAGGTCCATGGGGACTACGTAGCACCGTTATTAATCCCCCTTCGTGACCCGCGTTCCACCCACATCGTTCACGTACTGACCTTACAAGATGGCCAATGTGTCCTCTGTATCCGGAGTTCATCGCCCATCAGCATGCAGCTCGTCGTAGCTTCCACCGTGCAGGTGGGGCGCGGGGGGGCGACCATCTGATTCTGAACCGCATCCTGATTAGCTATCGTCTTTGGGCCTCCCACGCAGTAACGTACATGGTACTCCCTTTCCCCCTGGTGCGGATCCCAAGGGCGAAGGTCTGGCATGGCACGAGAACAAGGACGGACGCGCGAGTTTTGCGTAGCGCAGAGCCACTGCCGCGACCATTCCCCCTGCACGCTGTGCCACGGTCAATGAATGAATGGTGTTTAGCTGAGCAAGCGGGCCATGCGACAAAGCAGATACCGAAGCGTCCGATGTCTCCACGCCGCTCATGACCTCGTACCTACGTAACTGGGTCAGCCCTTCGCCTACCAAGCTACCTAGGTAGTTCAGGCTTCCAGTCCGTCCCGGCCTAGGTGCTGGTACCATTCCTTATTGGCAGCAATGTATCTATACATCGTGTCGTGCCTTTTTCCATTGTGGGATATAGAAGGTCCACCCTGTTCATTATTAGCTGACATGGGTAGGTGGAGGTACGTACAAGCGAAGGTTCGTTCTCAACCCTGCCAACCGGTCAGGAATACCAGCTCTACCAGTGTTCGATATAAGACCTAGCCGCCACCTCCCCTTCCCTCTCGTGCGCCGTTGTTTTCATCCTCCGATCGTCAGGACGTCTAGTCTCCACGGGTCCTTCTTCGTCTGGCAGTTAAGTTTGCTTCATCTCTCGTCCTTGTCGCCCCCTTCTGAGCCCTTCTTCGTGCCACCATGCCGGCCACAACATCGCCCGAGCATGACCAAGCCCTAGGTTGCAAGGCAGCCCAGAAGGCAGCGTCCCAACTTGACATTATCGATGTGCGGCGAGCTGCGGTCGAAGTCAATCTAAAGGACGACATTCTGTCCATGTGGAACCCCAAAGACGGCCCCAGGAAGCTGCCGACGTTGCTCCTCTACAACGAGAAGGGCCTGCAGCTGTTCGAGGATGTAGGCCATCATTTCCACAGGACTTGTGTGGTCATATGGACACTAACTCTGTAGAGATCACGTATCTGGAGGAATACTACTTGACCAACAATGAGATTGAAGCTCTCACACAGTACTCTAAGCAGATTGCTGAGATGATACCTTCTGATGCTATGGTCATAGAGCTGGGCAGTGGGTTCGTTTCCCTCCCGCCCCCTCCCAGTTCCCACAAAGGCGGCCATTGTTCCTGACATTCGGGCGGAAGTAACCTGCGCAAGGTCTGCCTACTGTTGCAGGCATTCGAAAATGCCGGCAAGAATATTGATTACTATGCGCTCGACCTGTCTCGAGAAGAGTTGGAGCGAACACTGGGCCAGGTGCCTGCGTTTCAACACGTAAAATGCCACGGGCTGTGGGGTACTTATGACGATGGTCGTGAGTGGCTCAAGTCACCTTCTCTGGCCTCGAGGTCCAAATGCATCCTCAGCTTGGGCTCAAGCATCGGTTCGTTGCTCTTGCCTCCATTCGAGCCTGTAGCCTGGATTTTGACCCTATGTGCCAGGAAACTTTGATCAAGCCGATGCGGCTGATTTCCTCAGGAGTTTCGGCGACATTCTCCAACCGTCAGACACCATGCTCATTGGTCTGGACGGATGTGAAGATGCGGCCAAGGTCTAGTGCGTTGGTTCCCGCTTCTTAGAAGATTCGACTGACATACTAACGACCCTATCAGCCATGGCTATAATGGTGAGATGTTCATCTACTACTTTGTGACACGAGCGACCTAGTGCATAGAAACTGACCTTCTCCATCATAGACCAGGAGGGCGTCACACACCAGTAAGCGTTTCTACCTCTGAAACCAAATCATCACAAACTCTTTCTTTCCACGGTCGAGGGGTCTTCTAACGCTCAATGCAGATTCCTCATGAATGGCCTGGCCAATGCAAACGAAATCCTTGGCGAGGAGGCATTCAAGCCAGACGACTGGCGTGCTGATGGCGAGTACATCTTTGACGATCAAGGTCGTCGACACCAGGCCTTTTACTATCCAGTTCGCGAAACAACCGCTTTGGGTGCCGTCGTTAGGCCGCACGAGCGTGTTCAGATCGAACAGAGCCTCAAATACTCGCCACATGAGGCTAAGAAGCTGTGGCACTCTGCTGGCATGGCGGAGATTGCTCGGTGGCAGGCTAAGGAACATGGTCAGTGTACAATGTCTTTTTTTTCTTGTTCAACCTCAGCAACCCGGGTGGGTGGTCAGATGAGGGAGGGGAGCCTGCTGTATGCGACCCAAGTCAGATAACCCCCCCACGTCGTCATGTGGTCATGGCCATCAGCCGGAGGCCAGTCAATGTGGACGTGGACAGTGACTCGCTTGCCTCTCTCCTCTTTTGAGGCCTAGCTACGGGAGAAACCACACGATCCCATGGAGCGATGGCTTGCGTTTGCGGGGAACCCTGACGTGTTCGGCTGTCTTTCTCAGCTCCCGCATTTGATTCTTTCGAACTCGTATCGTAAGACATCTTCTTACTTACCGTACTGTTCTACATTTTAGGTCTACACTTGCTCATCAAACCAAGAATGCCCTTCAGCCTCGCACCTTCGGTATACGCCGCCACCCCGCTGCCCACTCTGGACCAATGGAGCACTCTCTGGAGTGCCTGGGATATTGTCACCAGGGGCATGCTTCCGAACGAAGAGCTCCACGACAAGCCCATCAAGCTTCGCAACGCCTGCATCTTCTACCTCGGTCATATTCCCACATTCTTGGACATTCAATTGAACAAAACAACAAGGCAACAGCCCACGGAGCCGGCCTACTACATCTCCATCTTTGAGAGGGGCATCGATCCCGACGTAGACAACCCAGAACACTGCCATGCTCATTCCGAAGTTCCCGACGAATGGCCGGCTATTTCAGAAATCGTCGACTACCAGCAGAGAGTCCGCTCTCGACTCCGAAGACTGTATTCCCACGGAGAGGCGCACATCCCAAGGGATGTTGCCCGAGCCATCTGGATAGGCTTCGAGCACGAGGTCATGCACATGGAAACATTGCTTTACATGATGCTCCAGAGCGACAAGACTCAGCCACCCCCTCATACCGAAACGCCCAACTTCAAAAGCATGGCTGAAGAAGCGCAACAGGCCCGAGTGGCGAACGAGTGGCATGGCGTCCCTGCGCAGTCTGTTATCATTGGGATGGATGATGACGAGAAAGCCCTTGATAACAAAGGGTATTTTGGATGGTGTGTGGCATAACATGAATTCTCGGCCCTTGTACAGCATCTCACATTTTCCAGGGACAACGAGAAACCGTCAAGACGAGTGAATGTTCACTCCTTCGAGGCCAAGGGCCGCGCCATCACTAATGAAGAGGTGGGTTTCGTGCCTTACCTGTCATGGCTTGTCAACTGACCTGTTTTAGTATGCCAAGTATCTCCATCAGTGCCACACTGAAAAGCTGCCAGCATCATGGGTATCGACTCAGCCTGTCAGCCCGACGACCAACGGAAATGGCGTGACCAACGGCAACACGAATGGCCACGCCAACGGTCACACGAACGGCTGCGCAAATGGCCATGTCAACAGCCATCCTGGTAGCGAAACTTCACTGCCGACTTCATATGTGGATGGCATTGCCGTCCGCACAGTCTACGGACCTGTGCCATTGAGTCAAGCCCTGGACTGGCCTGTCGCCGCTTCTTATGATGAGATTGCCGGGTGCGCTGCCTACATGGGAGGCAGGATCCCCACATTTGAAGAGACCAAGAGTATATACGCCTACGTCAACCATCTCAAGCGCCGAGAGGCTGAGCACAAACTTGGAAAGACGGTTCCCGCCGTCAACGGGTGCGTCATGTTGTCTGCACCTAAGATTTTGAGAGTACTTAACTGACGTCCCCGACAGGCATCTCTCCAACAATGGTGTCCAGGAAACACCCCCATCCGCCTCCCCCTCTGCTGTTGATGAGGTTTCCGCCTCAGACCTCTTCGTCGACCTCGAGGGTACCAATGTCGGCTTTCAGCACTGGCACCCTATACCCGTGACGGCCGGTGGGGGCCGCCTCGCGGGACAGGCCGAGTTCGGTGGCCTGTGGGAGTGGACGAGCTCGCCGTTGAGGAAGCACGAGGGGTTTGAGCCGATGGAGCTCTACCCTGCCTACACAGGTGAGCGTTTCTCTATTTTGGCTAATGAGCATTGAGCTGATCGTGGCACAGCCGACTTCTTTGACGACAAGCATAACATCATCCTCGGTGGATCTTGGGCGACGCACCCTCGAATTGCCGGACGATCATCCTTGTGAGTTTGGCTGTTGCAGATATTGGTCCTTGGCGGAGCGAGGCACAGAACTGACTCTTTCTAGTGTGAACTGGTACCAGAGGAACTACCTCTATGCATGGGCTGGCGCCCGCCTTGTCCGTGATGTGCAGACGAATGGCAATGCTGCTTAGGGGTTGGTATCTCGTCTTGGTGATTTTGTACACGAATGGGCACGGAATGCGAGGGTACCTGGAGTGGGAGATGATCCAGATTGAATGAGTAAGAGGGCATATGAACATTTTCCCATCACAGGTAAACGAATGTGGTTAGGTACTATCAATGTGTTAGCTTGAAACGATCCGTGCCGTGAACCCTTGGTCCGCAACACACATGTCAGCATATCGATGAGTAGCCTTCGCCGTTAGCTGAGGTCCCTTGTCCTAGGTAGCAAGCTCATGGCCTGGGTGAGCTACATCCTGACGAAGCAATAGTGACGGACCTCCATCGCCAAATCTACACTTCGTCCCATATCGAAAGCTGAGAAGCACCTCGCCGATATCCGTACTGGCACCCATGCACTGGAGGGGCACTTCCACTGCCTCAAAAAATCGAGCCCTGCCAGCCAATCGAGACCCCCTCACACGGCACAAGCATCACGAGTCGCAAGCACGTCATATAGCAGCAATCCACAAGTCGTTGCTCTCTTTCAATTCCCACCCTACATACTAGAAAACAGCCTTGCGGCAAAGACATACTTGCATTGCATGTGTCCCTGGCGGTATGCGCTGCAGCATGCCCAATTCGTCCCGTCTTGGGTATCATGAAAAACGTCACGGGGAGTCCCCCCGCTGCCCCCCCTTTTCCCTGGCTGCTTGGTGTCTCGTTTGCGGTTTGCTGCATCTGTTGCCAAGAGGAAAGCTAGAACTCCCCTTGGCCAGCCTCACGCCTGGTTTTCATTTTGCGTCATCTGACCTAACTCTGCTGTCGCCTGTTTTTCGATGCCATCGTATCCCGTTACTAGCCGTGTGTCGCAGCCTTGCTCCAATGTAAGCTGCATGCAGGCACCGCTTGACCGACGGGCGTCTGGGAGGGGCCGGCCTGCAGGAGCTGGATATTCCAATACCTCGTCGTAATGTGCTCACATAGGGCCACGCCAGAGACACAGAGGGCGAGCACCCGTCTCTTGATCGACAGTCTGCCGATCAACCGTTGAGGGCGCCGTAAATCTCGAGCAGCTGCTCCAGCACGTACCCGGGGAGCTTGGGACCGTTTTCGGTGACGAGGTTCGTGATGTACTCGGGCGGTGTGTAGTCGACGGCATCAACGGGGACGTCGCTCTTGCGGTCAGTCTGAAAGTCGAGCACCGTCTGGTCGTAGCCGAGGTCCTTCTGGCCGAGGGGGAATTTGCGGACAAACTTGTGCGTCTCGGCCGTGACGTAAAAGGGGATGCGGGGCTTGTTCTCGCGGGCAAGTTTGGCGATCTGGTAGGTGCCGAGGCGTGAGATGATGCCGCCGCTCTGGGTGACGGCCTCGGCGCCGACAAAGACCATGTGGACCGAGTTGCGCAGGGCCATGACGTGGGCGATGGCGAGCTCGGAAATTTCGGCGACGGGGATGCCGCGGGCGCGCAGGGCGGCGACGAAGCGGTCGCTCTCGTCGGGGCGGCGGGCCTCGCGCACGTAGACGACGCGAAAGTTGACGGCGCCGGCTGGGTACTGGGCGGCGGCGCGGAAGAGGAGCTTCTCGACGGCGCGCGATTCGCCCATGGTCAGGACCGTCTTGCCCTCGCGGACGAAGCGCCAGCCGGCGTCGGCGATGCCGTCACGGGCGGCGATGGCGCGGTCGGCGAAGAGGCGGCCGTTGCGGACGAGGTGGCGGAGTACATCCTCGAAGCTCTGGTGGTGGGTCGTGCCGCCGCCGGGCGCTGCTGTCTGGCCCTCCTGCTGCTTAAGCGAGGAGACGAGGTACTGCAGGAAGAGGTCGGTGCCGGCCTGGAGCGGCACCGGGTTCTTGACCGAGGCGCGGAGGGTTTCTGAATGACGCTTGACCGTCTCGAGTGTCTCAAAGACGGTTGTATAGCTGCTGGCGGCGAGCAGGGCGACGAGGGCCTCGATGGCGGCGACAGGCTTGGTGAACTCGTGGTCGCGCAGATGGGAGTGGTACTCGGCAACAATGTCAAAGTCACCGCTCGCTGTCTTTTCTTGACTTCGGATGGGCAGGCTCTGTGTCTCGGCCGTGGGCTGGGAGGTTGTCGTCGTCGGCTGCTGCTCGCTCGCAGCGACTGCTATGGAAAAGGTCAGCCACACACGACGTCGGTAGATCAGGAAATTGTAGCGAGCGAAGCATACGTTCTGAGTCTTCGGTCGCCATTGGGAGGAGGAGCCCTTGATGAAATGATCAGTGTGACAATGCCTCGGTGAGAGGTGCGCAACGTGGTTTCAGCGATGGGTTTATTAAGCCACGGGCAGGCACCTGATCCAGCGGGTTCGTCGTGGGAGATGGATGACTCAAAATTACCAGAGATCGAAGACGTCGGTGTCGGGGCCTCGAGATTGACACAGGCACCCAGAAAGCTTGTGCTTCAGATCGTGGCTCTCACAGGGTCATAGTGTTCATTTCCAACCTTGACGGCCCCTCGTTTGGGTGCTCGTTCTGCCCCTCACTAACCTGATTCATCACAGTAGCGGGGTAGTCCAGTCGCGCCTGCCACTGCCACCCTCCTGTGCCTGCCTGCCACCCTGCCTCCTCTGTGCCTGCCTGGGTACGCAAGGTGCCCCTTCTCCACCAAACTGAACACCGCTCGTTGTGACAGCCGGGCTGCCGGGCCCCTCCTTCGTATAGCTCGGTAGGTACCTCTCTAAGGTACCTCTCTGAGGTACTCTCCAGGGGAAACGCACTCTGCCGTTGCCCACGATGAAGCACTCTCCTCTATCGTCAGAAGGACCTACGCCGACAACCCCGTCACCATGGAGCCAGCCATTGACATAGCCACGGGCCAGCCCCTGCCGCCCGACGCCATCCAGCGCATCCTCTTTCTCGCCCCCGCCGTCCACGTCTACAACATCCCCCCGCTCACCAGCAACAAGGGCCACACAGCCGCCCACTGGACCGCCGACAACAACCAGCGCCTCATCTTCACCGCCCGCCTGCGCGTGCTCGAGACGGCGTGGGAGGACGACGCCTCGGCCGGCCGCGAGAAGATCAAGGTCGACATTGTCCTCGAGGACCCCGCCACCGGCCAGCTCTTCGCCGCCGCCCCCTACACCGCCCCCGCCGTCGTCGAGCCCGTCCTCGACAGCTCGCGCTTCTTCGCCCTGCAGGTCCGCGACCCCTCTGGCCGCAAGGCCCTCCTCGGCATCGGCTTCGAGGAGCGCAGTGACGCCTTTGATTTTGGCGTCGCTACCCAGGAGGCCCAGAAGAGCCTTGGTCTCGACGGCGGGCCCGGTGCCGGGGGCCGTAGCAGCGGCAACACGAACGCGAGCACGCAGTTGGCGCCGGCGAAGGAGGAGCAGAAGAGGGATCTCAGCTTGAAGGAGGGCGAGACCATCACCGTCAACCTTGGCGGGAAGTTCGGTCGCAGGCGGCCCCAGCAGCAGCAGCAGCAGCAGCAGCAGCAAAACGACCCAGCGTCTTCGGGCGGCGGCCTGTCCGCCTTCTCGCTGCCGCCGCCGCCCTCAGCTTCAAGCGCTGGCTCACGGGGGAGTGGCCTGCTGCCGCCACCGCCGCCGAGCGCGTCGCAGCAGAGGGAGGAGAGGGAGAGGAAGAGACGGTCTGCACAGGACCTGGGCTTTGACGATGGCCAGTTTGGCGAGTTTGCGTAGCGACCTTCTTGAGCCGGTAAATCCGCAAGCCATGGCGTGCTGTGGCACGTCTTCGATTCGTGCCATGATTTGTGTTGGAGCTGTTCTACGAAGACTCTCACGACTTCCAAAATCGCTATATTGGCTACAAACTAAGCCTGGCTCGCTTCAAGTGTCTCCATTGTGACAAACTGTGATGAGAGCCTCGCCGAACAGCTGGATACTAAGAGCCCCAAAAACATCAAAGTTCCACATCCTCCACATGATGAGGTTGTTCTGGTCGGTGCTGCGTATTCCATTCGTTGTCCTCGAACGTCCCCTCGACCCCAGACCCAGGCCATACGCATCTTAGACCAGGCAGGCTCATCCTCCTCTGACGCCCACCTCTGCAAGCCTTTGCCTTCTGCAACGTGGGCTCAGTCTCTCCCGGCGTCTCCACACCCTCAAACTCAAACTCTAGGCCGCGATTCCCAAGTGCATCTCCGAGGTCTGCTGTACCGAGCGATTCGAGGTCTGCTTTACCGAACGATTCGAGATTCAGTCCATCAGTGCCGAGCATGGCGAGAGGGGACACATCACAATCCGCCTCTGAGGTGCACCCATAACCTTGTTGACCGGGCCCATTCGTCGGAAACAGAAATGGGACACCTGGGACAAATTCAGGCGACTTCGCATCCAGCTGCGCTCCCACCAAAGGCTCGGGAACCACGAGAGGGGCGCACGTCGGCGTCAACACAATGGGCGTCATCAACCCGCTAATCGGCGACGCCACCGTCTCCCAGACGGCCCATGGCGTCGGCGTCCACGAGCTGGTAACGTGCCGTTCCTGCTGCGCCTGCATCCAGCGCTGCCGCGTCTGCACCTCGACAAAGACCTCGCCCAGCCTGCCCATAATGGCCTTCTCCTGCTCGGCTGCCCTGAGGAGTTTCGCCTTGAGCAGCGACGACTGTTTCTTCGACTTACGGGACTGGCTGCTGGGGCATTCGCCGTCCGGATTTTCCTGGAGGGTGGCGAGGCGCCTCATCAGCTCGCGCGATCGTTGTTCCTCCATTACGCGGGAGGCCAGGAGGTAGGCCTGCTCGTCGTACAGCTGCTGGAAGGATCGCGGTGTGTCGAGAGCGGGCTGTCCGCTGAATGCCCGCGTGTCGACATGGACCTTGCTCGGGATGGATCTTCTCTGGCTACCACTTGTGACACTTCTTTTCAGAGAGGGTCGGAGTGGCGTTGTCGTTAGGCTGGGGACGCTTCTGCAGTTTGGACTGTTCGTCTGTATATGGACAGTAGAGTGGATTGACGGCTTTTTCGCATGGAGCTTCGCGGGAGCCTCTGCGACATCACCAACAAGGGTAGCCACGGTGCTCGAAGTGGTCGACATCAGGGGCGAGTCCCTGCAAGCAGGTTCGAGGACTGATGGGGCAAGCAGCAGAAGACATTGGGTCGGTGGTGTGCAGGCCAGGAGATATATGAGTCGGACATCCTCGTCTTGTCTGGCGTGTCTCGAGCGAGCAACAAAGGTTGGAAAGGCATGTTGGCCAAAAGGTTCTGGGCCGCAAGCAAGTATTGGCCAGCTTTGTCCCTCCAAGTGATCATGACAAAGACGAGAGGAGCTGGAGTCGCAGCCCAGACGAGAGACTAGAACCAGAAGGCCATCAATCGTGGCGTGCAGTGAAAGCAGACCAGCGGCGGGGTCGCCTGCTATCTGCTGTCAGAAATGGTAGTGCTCACGGGTACAATATAAAGCCTCGGAGGTCTGAATAGCTAGCTCATTGAGCTGGGAGGGCGGGAGGCAAGACCGCGCCAGTGCACTCCAATCAGGCTTGAGTCCGTGTTGGTCGTGTGTTACACAAAGTAGCGCGACCCTTTGTTGCACTCTCGGCGATCGTGGTGATCCTACAGCCGGTCGGAATGCAACATGGTTCATACCAAGTTGTGGTTTCCATACAGAGGAGCTTCTGAACCGACTTGTCCCATGTTCAGATGTTGAATCCATCATGCTTGGGAGGGTCACAAAAGCGCCACAGTCCAACAGCTTCAGCCGCGCTGCGCAGGGACGTGACCTCTTGATCCGACACGGCTCGATTGATGTCGCTGTAGCGAAGCGTTTCGGCCGACACGTCGGACCCGGCTGCCTTGCCTCCCTGGCGTCGGCGTGGCTTTCCGACGTGAGCGTCCGGGTGGTACTGTTCCATGATGTTCACAAAGCAATCCTTCGATACCTCCTCAGCGAGGAACTGCATAATGCGCTTGCCCTCCTCCTCCTTCCCCGGCATGACCAAGTGGCGCACCAAGACACCTTTCTTGGCGATGCCGTCGGGTGTGAAGCAAAGGTCGCCTACCTGCGTGTACATGGCCTTGATGCTCCCCCTCGCCGTCGAGGCGTAATCATCAGCCTTGAGAAGTCGCTTCGACGTTGCTTTCTCCCAGACCTTGAAATCGGGTAGGTAGATGTCGACCAAGCCATCCATGAGCTCTAGCGACTCGAGTGAATCAAAGCTGGAGGTGTTGTAAATAATTGGCAACCGCAAACCGAGGTCGCGGGCGTGAAGGATGCTCAATGCCACCTGCGGGACAACATGTTCAGGTGTGACAAGGTTGATGTTGTGAACGCCTCCCACATCTTGCAGCTTCAGATACCACTCGCCCAGCTCTTCGGGTGTCAAGTCCTGGCCGTTTCGCTGGTGTGCGATATCGTGGTTTTGACAGAAGACACATCGCAGGTTGCATCCAGAAAAGAAGACAGCACCGCTGCCGTTGTGTCCCTGGATGCAGGGTTCTAGTTTTACGGGTCAGTGTATCTTTTGGCACTTCGCATGCTGCCAACACAAGCAGCAGCGCATGCTATACACACCTTCTCCAAAGTGCGGCGCAATCACGTTCACCTTCGCCTTGTCGCCAACCAAACAGTGTCCGGTGGTTTCGTAGCGATTAACGCCACAGAGCCGAGGGCAGAGATTGCAATTGCGAAGGTGGGCATATGCCTTGGAGCGTTTCATAGCGGCATCGACTGACGACAGCACCGTGTACCGAGGCACGTAGTCATCAAGGAGAAAGGGCGGCGCTAGATGGAGGCATCGATGTGCTCGAGGAATAGATCTTGACCATGGGGAAAGCCTGATCCTGGAACCTTTGAGATAATTCATGGCGAATGCCGATGATGCTGCACTCAATGTATATGCGTCCTGTTGGAGGAGCATGTAACAGAGGGTGTTCAGCGCACTTCAGCAGTTGATCATCCACAGCGTATCAGATTAGAGGGGTATACGCCCCTCTATCTGCACAACCAGGTCACCACTCAAGGCAGTTCGCTTTCCCCAGGTCCAGTGAGGCGAAATCTTCTCGCATCCAAATTGTTAGATTCCTGCCGCCAGGGAGGGCAGTGCATAGACGTCGGGAAAAATTAAATCGAGGCTCAGAAATGTTGAGTTCGAGATGCTTGTAACAAGAGCCTCGAGAACGCACCGTACTGAAGCGCAGGCTACGTGGAAACGCTTCGATCGAGGTTGAGTATCACCGAGTAGACCGTATGAACGCTTACCCTCGCGCTGAATATCGAGACTCTTGCTATGATCCTGTTCGTTGAGATGCACTGGCTGCATATGAGTGACGGCATTTTTGCATATCAAGGCAGCAGTGGCACGATACTCAATGATCCCTGGGACACGAAGGCTGCAGCGGCAAACACATGCGGTTACGGACGATCCATGCAGCTGCGGAGGTAACGTTCAGGTTTTGAATGTTTTTCTACCATTGCCATTTAATTATGAGCGACGCCGACGATGTTCACTGCCACCGAGGCAGACCTTAACTACCTAGCAAGCACTGTTGCCCAAGCTTATCTCCATTCATTTGTTTTGAGTCCGAACTCCATGCTCGTCCAAGTAAATCCACAAAGCGACGCAAACAAGACTCTTGCCCCAGCTAGGACGTCTCCTCAGCCCACTGCTCAAGCCTCTCAACCAAATCAGCCTTTTTGCCCGAGATGCTAAGCCCCTTCATCGCGAGCAAGTCCTTCAGATCGGCAACAACCATCTTGGTGAGCGATCCAGCACTGGCTGCCGCCCGAACCTGAGCGTCTGTCATTCCAGAGGCTGATGGTTTTGTGGAGGAAGCCTTGGCTTTCTTCGCCGGCTTGACATCGTCAGCATCATCGTCCGCCTCGCGTTTAGTCTTGGTCGTCTTCGCCGTCTTCTGTGTCTCCTCCTGGAGCGTCTCGGCCCAATCCTGCAGATAGCCACCGGAACGCTTGTTGATGGCCTTGTGCTTGGGCAAGGTCAGGTCCTCGGGCACTTCTGGCACTTCCTCCTCAAGCGCGAGCGCCTGTAAGATTTTGTAGTGCCACTGTAGGCCGGGGTTTGGGTATCGCATTGGGTTGTACATGGCTTTGGGAAGTTGGAGTTGCTGGACGATAACCCGCATCTGATCGACGAGCTCATTCGAGGCACGAGGGGGCTCAGTACCGTCTGTAGCCGGACCTCCACGCAAGTCATCAGCAAAGGGAAGCGGGCAGAGCCAGAGACCTGCCGGAAGGAACGGCGTCGCGTTGCTTTCCTCCGTGCTCTCGTGAGATGGGATGATGGCGCTCAAGACTGGCGTCGCATTGGCGCGAATGATGCACCAGGCAATGGCAACCTTGTTGGACTTGAGCAGTTTCTGCCAGAGAGCCGAAAACACACGGGTAGAGCCAACGAAGTCTTCCTCGCTCGGAAAGATGAACGTTGACTTCTTCACGCTCGCCCAAAATGGAATCTGGGCACGGGTTTTGAACCCGATGATACGGATGATCGGTGGTCCAAAATCTTTGGCGCGCTTCTGGTCTTCTGGCGAAAAGTAGATGTACTCGCCGCCGAACTTGTACGCCTTCTTCGTCTCGGACTTCTCGACCGTCCGGGCGGTGTCTTCAGAGATGCGCGTCGTCTCACCCGCGACAATCTGAGGCTTCTCGCCCTCAAGCCAGACGTAACAACTTCTTGCTGGTTCTTGGCGGTGTAATATGTTGTAGCCTTTGATTGAGATCCTCAGACCAGGTGCTATTTCCAGAGGAACGCTTGAAAAGAGAGCACGCTTTGCCACCTGCTTTGAGTTGATGTTGGATATGAGGGAATTCAAGAGACTGAGTCCATCAGCCGTCTTTGAGCACCGCACCTCAGAATGGTTTGCTTCGGCACTCGCGTCGCGGTAGATGATGTCCTACGCCTGTCAGCCACGCACCCAAGTCGACACCAGTGAAGCACCCGCTTACATCATAGAATTTGGCCAGATCAAACTCGTTGTCTCCTCGAGTAATGGGGAACAACTCAATGTTGACTCCGAGGTCGTAGAGATCTTTGGCTCTGACCGCAGCAGCTGACTTGGCCGCCTTGTCTGAAGGGTGTGGACTGTCGTTATCTGTGAGTATGAACAGACGACGGCTGCTGTAGTTTGCCGCCTTGGTGGTAAAAATCTGATTGGCGCAGAAGAACACATTCGCCATTTGCACCTTTTCTGTCGAGGACGGTATCAAGACGCCCTCCTCATCCTCCTCATCCTCAACTAGGGCTTTAAGAGCTTTGACATCTTCGGCGGCAGGTATGTCAAGGTCAGTGTGAAGATAACAGTGGGGGTAGCCTAGACCACTCCGTCCGCTATGCTCCTGGAATTTCGACTTTTCGGTGCCGAAGAACAGAATTCCCATCATGTCTTTTGGACTAGCGATGATACGTTGTTGCATAAGCTGATACGCGCATTTCAGGGCTGCTTGAACAGCACTGTCCTTATCGGCCTTTCGTGATGTCGAAGCTGGCGGTTGCTCCAACATTGTATCGCTCACATCTATGGCCAAAATGATCGCATCGTTTTGGCTCTTGTAGTCCTTGGACGGGTGAGCACTGATGCATGGGGTGAGACTGTGCCAGGACTTACATTCTCAACCTCCTCATCTGCTTCTTCATCTTCTTCCCTCTTGTAATCATCTCTGTCGGCCATCGCTACAGGAAGCTGGCTATAGGAAGCAATAAAGGTTCTAAGGAGCGTTGATGGTGGTTGTGCAGCAAGAGAAATCAATCAATTGACCAGGCTTGACGGCTTGAAATCCTCAGCTCATGGTCTCTATGGGACAACCTCCAGGCAGACGCGACCAGATGTGAGGGCACGTGCCCAAGTTCCAGAACCAAACGCGCAGTCACGTGTCAGATCAGAACTGGATTACGTCCCTTGTGATTCGCTCGGCATTTGCAGAGGAGTCAGGTACTTCCAGAATAGTGCGCCTGCCGCCTTATAGACAAGTACCGGGCTAAGACCTCGGAGCAGCATGGTTGCCACGCTAGCGCTCCAATACGCATCATGATGCTTTCGTGGGATTAGTAGTCTCAAGAAAGTCAGACCATTCCACACCATTGTACAACACAAGCGAAAGGTTAATACTCATACAAAACGCGCGGCGCCGATTTCTGGAATCACCTCGTCTAGCTCGACTTGAATTCCATTGCCTATTCAGAACCTGTACTGATCGCCCTCATCGACAATGGCAATGCGACGCTCAGCGGCGCAGCTCTCCAAGAGCTTGGCCAAGACGCCGACAGCCACGTCTTCTCGAAAGCTCATGCTCCCGAATCACCTCGCAAGCCAATCGCGAAAGCTTGCGACGGTGCCACCAGTCACACAGGATGCGACGGGGTCGAAGGGCCCGACGGCCATGGTCTTTCTCAACATGGGCGGTCCTCAAACGACAGATGAAGTTGGAGACTTCTTGAGTCGACTCTTTGTAGGTCTATCCGTGGACGTGTCTTCTGATTGCCTTACTAAAGCCTCTATCCAGGCGGATGGCGATTTAATTCCCCTCGGTCGTTTCCAGAACTACGTTGGCCCTCTGATTTCGCAAAGACGGACGCCCAAGATCCAAAAACAATATGCTGAAATTGGCGGAGGCTCTCCCATCCGCAAGTGGTCCGAGTACCAGAACGAGGAGATGTGCAAGATTCTCGACAAAATTTCTCCAGAGACAGCACCGCACAAGCCCTACGTTGCGTTCCGATATGCCAACCCCTTGACAGAAGAAATGTACAACCGACTGCTGGACGACGGATTTGGTCGCGGCAAGGGAGGTCGAGCTGTCGCATTCACTCAATACCCACAATACTCTTGCTCGACCACAGGGAGCAGCATCAACGAGCTCTGGAAATGGAGACAAAGACTAGAGGGCAAGGATGCGGCCTCGGGCGTTCCTGGCGACGGTACCATCAACTGGAGCGTCATCGACCGATGGCCCGTTCACTCAGGTCTTGTAGAGGCCTTTGCGCAGAACATCGAGAAGAAGCTGCTCGAGTACCCTGAAGAGCGCCGCAAGGACGCTGTGCTGCTGTTCTCCGCACACAGCCTGCCGATGTCTGTGGTCAACCGAGGCGACCCCTACCCGCCCGAGGTTGCCGCTACAGTGTACGCCGTCATGCAGCGGCTCAAATTTTCAAACCCCTACCGTCTCTGCTGGCAGTCTCAAGTTGGCCCTTCGGCGTGGCTTGGCCCCCAGACGTCGGACACTGTGGAGGGCTATGTCCACAAGGGCCAGAAGGACCTCGTCCTTATTCCCATCGCCTTCACCTCGGACCATATCGAGACGCTGTATGAGATCGACAAGGAAGTCATCCCGGACTCCGGCTCTCCGGATACTGTGAAGCGTGTCGACAGTCTCAATGGCAGCCCGGTCTTCATCCGTGCGCTGGCGGACATTGCCAAGGCTCACCTTGACAGTGGCATTGCTTGTTCGCCGCAGATGGAGCTCAGGTGTCCTGGCTGCAAGAGCGAACGCTGTGCGGAGTCTAAGAAGTTCTTCAGCTCCCAAGGTCGAGTGCTCGGGGCCGGAGATGTAGCTCTGTAAGCAAGGGGAAGAAAAGAAAACATGTAACGGATTGTATCAGTAGACGAGGTTACAGCGAACCGTGTCTATTAGGGCTCAGGTATAGACAGCCATTTCCTGGCAGATTTCATCGTGTTTAGACAAACATCCTTCCTCGATTGTTGCCCCCGCGACAGGGGGCTATGGTTCCGTAGTGATTGATGTCATTTTCCGTCTCACCTTCACTTTTGCAGTCGCCGTAATCTGGCTGTACATGGGACAGAATTTTGGGCAGTACACGTCACATTAATGCTCCAAAAGCGAATACTTGACAGGTCTTGGTTGAACAGGACGATCCACCAGTTGGAGGTTGACGGCGGTTGTAGATCACTACTGTTGCTACAGTGCCCACCGACAAACAAACACAGTACGCAATGCCCCTTCAGGAGCAAAGCCGGGCGGCCACATCAGTAGGCTGACGTATTAACAAACCTCCTTTCAGTGGATCGACGACGCTTAAGCAAAACTGAAGCCAGAGAACCCTGCCTTGGTCTTTCAATACAGTCGCATAGGACTATCTCCATGTTTGCCCTGAAATCTTTAGTAGCGCCGAGTAGTCGTGCTTTTTCTGGTGCCTCACGAAGAGCTATGAGTTCGCAGGACAGAATCTTCTTCGGACCGTTCGAGGTCACACAACAGGTGAGCCAACTCAGCCCGAGCACTCCAGTCAGTACTGTGTTGAACGCAGCACTTACCCACGGCACCAGGTCTTTCTGAGAACGCCTCATTGCTTTGCCGTCGTCAACCTGAAGCCTCTTCTCCCTGGTCATGTCCTGATCTGTCCACTCCAGCCGCATAAGCGCCTGACGGACCTCTCAACACCTGAAGTGACGGACCTCTTCACGACAACGCAGCGCGTGCAGAAGATGCTGGCGCGACACTACTTCAAGGCATCGTCAGATGTATCATCATCGCCGTCAGATGCGCCGCCCGAGGCTGGCTCCTTCAACATTGCCCTCCAAGACGGCGCTGGCGCGGGCCAAACAGTGCCGCACGTCCACGTGCACATTCTGCCGCGGATTCCAGGCGAGACAAGCAAAGACCCGGGGCCTAAGGATGAGATTTACGAACAAATGACTAGCGAGGAGGGAAACGTTGGAGGCGCACTATGGGATGCCGTGGTCCGGGAGAAAGGAGCCAGGCCACATCCAGGGGGCGCGTTCCCGCACATTGACGACAGTGCGAGGAAACCGAGAAGCATGGAAGAGATGGTGGCCGAGGCAGAGATCTATAAGAAAGCTCTACAGGAGCTGTAGAGATTGTGTGAAGATGGAGCATTAGCTAGGGTTGTTTTGACAAGGCAGCATTAGACTATCGACATGGGCCTTGTGTAAACAGTGTGCCAGACACCAAAGACACTGTATGTCGTGCTGGAAACCACTTACAGGGATTGGACTGGTCGCGTCAAGTCGCGTCGCGCGGTGTCGCGGGACGCCTTTGAAGTGTCTTTCCCTTTCCTTGCCCCAGTCAAGCCAAAACTGCCAATCCAAACCACCAAATAAGAGGCAAATCCGATACCTGGTAGACTCAACACCCCGATTCTTAAAGAGCCTGTGGTCGCTCTGCAAAGACCAAATCCTAAGTACAGTCGTCGCCATGCTCACCGCGTCCTCTCCTATCCACTACCCGGCACCATCGTCCCCTCCCAAACCAAAAAGACCCCGTCCGGTACAAGATGCGCATCCTCGACCAAAGGCCAAAATGCAGAGCGGGTTTCTGCTGGAAGACGATTCTGAAAGCTCGGAAGACGAAGGGGGCAAAGAACCACCATTGAAGAAAATCCTGACCGGCACCGCACACCCATTTCCGTCCTTCCAGCAACGATCATACACGCCGCAAGACGATTCGATACCTGCCGAGACGACACGAAACGGCGATCCAGCTCCAACACAGACGGTGCCAGTCATAACACCACCGGACAGTCTCAACCTGTACGATGGCTCTCAAGTTCCCGACCTGCTGCCTTTCGACAACCTGGGAATCTTGCAAAGCTCGACCCGGCGGACGTATACCATCCGCACCTCCACAGGCAAAGCCATGACCCTGCAGCAGCGCAAACCGAACACACTTGACTCGTACGAGACAATCATAGCAGCGAGGACAAAGACCAAGGAGGGTCGGGCAAAACGAGGGTACTACGGCGTCGACATCAACGAGTTGAAGGATGCTGCTGCCTTGGAGATCTCGGAAGCTCGATCCCGTCCCCGAGATCCCGAAAACACCGCCTCGGAGCCTCTTCCCTCAATTGAGGCGGCTCAGATTGGGCACAAGAAGCCCAAGAAATCCCTTTTATGGACCGAGAAGTACCGAGCACGGACATTTATGGACCTTTGCGGCGACGACAGCACGAATCGGACAGTGTTGCGGTGGTTGAAGCGCTGGGATCCCATCGTGTTCCCTGGCGCTACGAATAGGGCCCCAATCGTGCGTAGGCCAGCTGCAAAAGACGCCGCCGTCGAGGAGAAACCACACCGCAAAATCCTGATGTTGACAGGCCCCCCTGGACTCGGCAAGACAACATTAGCGCACGTCTGCGCGAGGCAGGCTGGGTACGAAGTCATGGAGATCAACGCCAGTGACGACAGGAGTCGCGATGTGGTGAAGAACCGCATCAGGACGAGCCTAGGCACTGAGAGTGTTCGAACAGTCGCCAACAGGAAGACCGGTAGCGATGGACAGCAGGCCAAAGTCGCCCGCCCAGCTTGCGTCATTGTCGATGAGGTGGACGGTGCGGTGAGCGGATCTGGAGCCTCGGGAGAGGGTGGTTTTGTCAAGGCATTGATCGACCTCGTGCTCCTCGATCAGAAGAACTCGGGGGCTGCAGGCAGTACGAGTCACAAGAAGAAGAAGGGCGACGATTTCCGGTTGATGCGGCCCCTCATCTTGATTTGTAACGATGTCTATCACCCTTCTCTTCGGCCCCTTCGACAATCCGGTCTTGCAGAGGTCATACATGTCGGCAAGCCTACAATTGAGTCCGTCGTTACGCGGCTCAAGTCTGTATTCGACAAAGAGGGTGTTCCTTGCGACAAGGACGCCGCGAGGAAGATCTGCGAGGCCGCATGGGGTATGGCAACTGGTAATGATGCAAAACGAGGAGCCCAGAGTGGTGCCGAGGGTGACTTGCGCGGTGTCATGGTTGTAGGTGAATGGGTTGCAGGACGTTATAGAGCTGCCGCAACAGAGAGCACCCCACGACTGACGCGGCAATGGCTCGACAAGCACGTCGTGCAAGAGCTCTCCAACGGAGCAGGCGGAGCCCGCGGCACGGGAAGAGGCAGCGCGAAAGACATTGTCGCACGGGTCTTCCAAGAAGGCGGTGGTTTTCCCAAGGCCGCTCTTGATACCTCGAAAACTGCAACGAACCAGCACGAACAACCCAAGGCGCAGCTCGGGTTTGCCGAGTATCAGAAGAAGCACTCCATGGAACGCCTCCAGCAAATGGTCAACACGAGCGGAGAAATCGACAAGATCGTCACAGACATCATGCTGGAGTACCCCAACCGGGAGTTCAACGACGACTCCTTCCTTTCGAAACCCAATGAGGCCTACGACTGGCTCCAGTTCCACGACGCATGTTCTTCGCGTCTCTTCGCGAGCCAGGACTGGGAGCTTGCGCCTTACCTCGGCCTGCCAGTCCTCGCCTGTCACAGCCTGTTTGCTTCGCCCAAACGACACGTCGTCGCCATGGGCTACGACAAGAAATGGGGCGGGGCAGCCGACGACGACGCGGCGACAGTGCCCTTCTCCGGCCCCCGGGCAGATTTCGAAGCCTACCAGGCCGAGAAGGAAAACCGCGCCATGCTCCAAGCGATCCAGGCGCAGCTCAGCCCAACGTTGATGCGGTCGTTCCGGAGCCCCGAGGACGTTGCCGCCGAGTTCCTCCCGTACCTCGTCCGGCTCGTTTCCCCAGACGTCAAGCCCGTCGTCGTGGGCGGCGGTGGAGATCAGAGGGGCATTGCGAGCGTGCGCAAGGACGCGGAGAAGGCCATGGTCAAGCGCGCTGCGGAGATCATGGTGGACGTCGGCATCACTCTACAAAGGGGCAAGATTGAGACCGATTCTGCCTTTAACCGGACGCCGCAATGGGTCTATCGACTCGAGCCGTAAGTTTCCATTGGATCCGCACACCCAGGGCCCGTATACTCACAATGCACAGGGATCTCGATGCCTTGGCCGTCTACGAGACAGCCACCTCCGTCCTGTCCGTGCAGGCGCCTACGCGGTATGCCGTCCGTCAGGTCCTCGACCAGGAGCTGCAGGCCAGCATTGCCCGCCGCGAGAACGAGGCGCGCCAGGCTCGCTTCCAGGGCGGAAACCCTCTTGGTAACGACGTGCCCTCGACCCGTGTGGACAAGGAGGCCATCGAGCAGAAGCGCCTCAAGGTCCTGGCGCTCGCAGACCGGGTCAGGAAGGACTTTTTCGGGCGCGTCATTGAGGAGAAGCAACAGCAGGAGGGAGAGGGAGAGGGAAATGGGCGTGGTGCTGGCAGGGCGGCGCAGGACCAGCCGATGAGGGTTTGGGTGTCGTACAACGAAGGACTGAATAATGCTGTGAGGAAGCCGATTTCTCTGCAGGAGCTGATGAGGGGGATGTAGAGATGTTGCGCGAGGGACGCTGCTGAATGCAATACGACATTTCCGCCACGTTCCTGTCATATCTAAACCAAGGCATTTGCTGTGCCCATGACTTGTTTGAAGTATTACTTCAGTATTCAGGCGGCCATCAGGACCTTTTGGCTGTCAAAAGTCTCGCACGCGCGAGAGTAAAGGCAAGTAGTCTTACATGTTATGTATCTTTAAAATAACTGACAACATGGCCTGTCTGTCTGATGTGACCATGGACAAAAATCTCGTGTAATGTAATCAACTCCGTCTCCCTGATCCAACGAACCAATCACTGTAAATGCGCCCCTCTACCCGGTCATGTCACTTTCCGTGTATGCTGTAACCGTAACGCCCGCGCTCCGCACCCTTGCACCAAATAAAAACACTTTCCCGCAACGTCAGGTGAAGGACGGTTCGATCACCCACTGGCTGCGACCTGCGACTCGACAGCGGACCTACCACGCTCACGCTGCTCCTGAAGAAGAGGCTCTTCCTCCCCGGCAGGTTCGTCCGGGCCAACAGGCTCGTCGTCATGTCTCAAGTAGACTGCAGGATGAATTAGCAAAGAAAAAAGAAAAAAAAAATAAAAAAAAAAAAACTGCAACATACCATGCGGCCTGACCAACCACGTGGCCAAGAAGGCGAGCAGGAACAGGCTGACCAGCAGCGCAAAGATGGCCGTGTCAAACCTTCCCACGGTCACGGCGTAGAGGCTGTTGAAGGCGATGGGCCCGACGATCCGCGACAGCGCCTGCAGCAGCCCGATGGCGCCCAGCAGCTGGCCGACCTGCTGGGAGGGCACGTGCTTCGTAAGGGCGGCCTGGACGGTGGCGCCGCCGAGCCCACCCATGGCGGTCAGCATGCCGGCGAAGACGAAGACGCCCTCGTGGCGGGCGAGCATGTAGCCCGTGCCGCCGAGGATGTCGGACACGAGGGCGGTGCGCAGCAGCCAAATGTCGAGCGCGTCGGCGCCCTGGTTGGCGTCGGGGACGGCCGAGCCGGACGCGCGGGCGCGGCGTGCGTTGGGGCGGACGCGGAAGACGTGGTTGATGGCGGGCAGGATGGCGAGCAGGACGAAGACGCGCACCCACGACAGGAGCGAGATGAAGCGCGAGCTCTCGACCGTGCCCCAGCCCCAGGTGTCGTCGGACTCGCAGTAGAGCAGGAGGACGGTGCCGACGCTCATGGCGACGCCCGCAATGATCATGTCGATGGTCGCGAGCGCCACCAGGTTCCTGCGCAGAGCGGGCGAGCTGCCGGCCTTGGTTGGCCAGAGGGCCTTGAGAGGCGCCAGGACGTTGGCCACGTGCAGAGGAGCGAGCCAGGTCCCGCGAGCGCTGCGGTCGTCCTGCTCGTCGGCGTGCTCTTTTTGCGCGCGGAGGCGGCGCTGCTGGGAAAGCGACTCGGGTACAACAAAGCCAACGAAGAAGAGGAAGAAGATGTGGCAGATCAAAAGGGCATAGAACACGGAGAGGAGGGTGCCCGTTGCGGCCACGAGAAAGCCTGCGAGGAGGGGTCCGACGGCCAGGCCGGTGAAGAGACAGGCGTGGAGGCGACCGATGACCACGGCACGTTTTGAGGGGGGCGTGCAGTCGCTCGCATACGAGTTGCTGAGGATGCCGCCGGCGGTAAATGAACCGGTCAAGCCATCGCAGACGGCAGCAACGATGAGCCAGTTGTAGTGGACTACATCTGGGTACTTGGCGCAGAGGATGGTGATGATCTCGGCACTGATGCCGCCAATGGACGCCAGGGCCAAGAACTTGGTTCGACCGTACCGGTCTGAAAGCTGGCCGAACTTGGGAGCAGTAAAGGCTGACAGGATACCGACGGTGAGGTTGATGGCCATGGTAAACATGGAAACACTCTTCTTCACTTCGGGTATAAAGCATTGCGGATTGTCGGCACCCAGAACCACAGGGATAAAGGTAAAGTTGGGGTCGAGCAAGGTTTCGTCTGCAAAGTGCTTCCGGCACACCAAATCGACGATGCTAGGGGCAAGTCCTCGTCAGCACACAAGCCCATTTCACAGGACTGCCTGGGTCTCCGCACTCACAGGTTGAGTTTCGGAACAATCATGCCACCAAAGGCCATGGCGAAGATGAAGAAGGGCACCAGCAGCCAAGTGACCTGACATGGAGCACCTGGTTAGAAGCTGGCTGCATAGGAAGCTGGAAAGGAAGCTCGTACAGATGGGACCTGCCACCAGGGAAGGCCATCAAATTCGGCTGCTGCATCCCAACCTGCCGCCCTTGCGCCTTGTTCGTCATTGTCGCCGTCCATGTTGCGAAGAAAGGGACTCGTCGCGTTCAAGTTGTTTGCTGGGTTGAGTGGCGAGCCGAGGACGGGGTCTTGTTCGTCAGCCACAACGGCTGCATAGGTCTTGGGCGCCGACATGGCGAGAAGGTGTCTTGCGAGACGGCGTTGAGTCCCGGTTGCAAGCTGCAAAGCAGAGGAGCTTCGCCGAGGTTGGATAGATGGTGAATCAATAGGCGCAAACGTGATGTCCCACTTGGCCCGAATGGTATAGTGTGGAGGTGGGGGATGGGCAGGGTTAGTTGTGGTCCATTGCGCGCGTGAACGAAATTGTAGATGGAGCACAGTCCGAAAGATGGGATTGAATGGGGGGCTAGAGGGATAGATAAGAAGAAGATGATGATGATGAGGCCATCAGGGCCTAGAGTGATGAGCCAAGTGTGGGGATGACATGGCAATTGAGATCGCAGTGATGTGATGGCTTGGATGGCAAACAACGAAAGGCGGCTAACGATGACGATGCAGTGCAGCGCCAGTTGCTGGTTGCTCCAGGGGTCGATTCGCATGACCAAGCAGCATTCTCAGGACAGAGAGAGGTATGGGCGGACAGGGATCATGGTCCGCCGCGGACCTTGCGGAGGGGCTACTGCGCTGGCTTCCTGGAGCTCTTTTTCCATTGCGCTGTGGCCAGAATACCTCCTTCAGAGGCTTCCTGTCGTATTGTCCAGCATCTGAGATTCTACTCATCACATCTGATCTTTCAAATGTCACGTCCTACTCACCGTCGGGCTGTCGAAACTCTCTTCCTCTCTCTCTCTCTCTCTCTGGTGATACAAAGGTCAGAGAGCTGGGGAAATGGCACAAGTCGCGTCCAAGCTCGATGTGTACTTCAGGAGGTAAATTGGGCGAGATATACATCCTAACTCCAATAGAGACAACGCACAAGTACCGTCTGGCTGGTCGATCTCCAGGCAGAAGAGAAGGCTTATCTCAAAGAGAGCACTGCGCCACCCATCGTCGATGGACCGCCAATTCTCAGCCACAGCGGTCACACAGGACTTAGGAAAAAAAAAAAACCGGAGCCCCTCCTCACCTTTCCTCAGTAAGGCACAGTAAGGAGTACTTGACTCATCCACCGATCTCGGGCACGAACTGATTGGGGTCGATTCTGAGCCTCACTACCACACCCGCCTCTTTTCACCTCTCACCGATAGATTTTCCTTTTCCTAGCCCTGCTAAATTCCCTACCGTCCACCAGCGACTCAATTGGATTGAGAAGCATCCGAACCCATGATTCCTTCCACTTCCACGGTGGCGCGCGCCGGCGCCCGCCAACTCCTTCGACGATCTGCGTCCGTGGCTCCTCCGAGCCCCAGCCCAATTGTCCTCGGCCGAAACCACAGCATCAACAACGCCCGTAACCTCTCGACGGCGAGGACGCTGGCCGTCGCGTCGGCTCGCCTTTGCACGCCATCCACACCGGTGCGCCAGCAACGACAGGGCTACGCTACCACTACGAACCCCAACCCCCCGCTCGACAAGAAGAATGCCTCGAATGACGTCCCGTCCCGCATCGCCCTGATTGGCGCCCGTGGATACACCGGTCAGGCTCTGATCGACCTCTTCGAAGCCCACCCCTACATGGACCTGCGCCATGTGTCGTCACGAGAGCTCGCCGGCAAGGAGCTTGAGCGATACACCAAGCGCAAGGTCATCTACGAACACCTGACGCCCGAGGATGCTGCCCAGCTCGACGCCAAGGGCGAGGTCGACTGCTGGGTCATGGCCCTGCCCAACGGCGTGTGCAAGCCCTACGTCGATGCTATCAACGAATCGCAGAAGGGCAAGAGCGGCGGCAGCGTCATTGTCGACCTCTCTGCCGACTATCGCTTCGACAAGGAGTGGGCCTATGGACTTCCCGAGCTCACCAAGCGCTCCGACATTTTCCCGTCCACCCGCATCTCCAACCCCGGATGCTACGCCACGGCCGCCCAGCTCGGCATCGCGCCTCTGGTCGAGCACCTCGCCGGGGAGCCTGTCGTCTTTGGCGTCTCGGGCTACTCGGGCGCCGGCACGAAGCCGTCCCCCAAGAACGACGTCAACCTGCTGAAGGACAACCTCATCCCCTACAGTCTGACGGGCCACGTCCACGAGCGGGAGATCAGCCACCACCTCGGCACCTCTGTTGCCTTTATCCCCCACGTCGCCAGCTGGTTCCGCTCCATCCACCTCACCATCAACATCACCCTCAACAAGACCATGACCTCGCGCGACATCCGCCAGCTGTACCAGGACCGCTATGCCGGCGAGAAGCTCGTCAAGGTCGTGGGCGAGGCGCCCCTCGTGCGATCCGTGTCCTCGCTGCACCACTGCGAGATTGGAGGCTTCGCCGTCGACAACACCGGCAAGCGTGTCGTCATGTAAGTTTTTTTGGTGGTACTCCACGTATGACCGTCGTGCTGACCCCTCCAAAGCTGCGTCTCCATGGACAACCTTAACAAGGGAGCTGCTACCCAGTGCCTGCGTGCGTACCCCCTTTCCGAGCATGCTATTGACCGAGTCACTGATGAGATGCGCTACAGAGAACATGAACCTTGCGCTCGGTTACGCGGAGTACCAGGGCATCCCCAATGTGTAGCGGCACCACGTGCAGGCGTCAAGTCAAGTAGACGGTTTTTGTTTTCGACGGGATCTGGCTCTGATATCCCCTCAAAAGTTTGGCTCACTGTGGAGGAACTTTTGTTGTACATACTTCGGCGGTCTTCCAATCATCCTCATCCACCTTTTCGTCTTCTCCTATTCATCCCGGTTGAAATCGTGAAACGCACTCAAATCTTGACATGTCACAATGATGGGGTTGCTGGACCTTTAGTATTGACTAACCCCTCATGAAAGGCGGGCGGAAGCACGTGGGTCAACAGTGACAGTATGCTCTGCAGATGGAGCCTCATTCAGGTGTCGATTGTGAAATGAAGGTGAATCGTTTCATAATGGGAACACTTTTAATATGACTGACTGAGGAAATGATCCTTTTCTGGCTGCCCTGGTTGTTTAACGTTGGTTGAAGTGAAATGGGTACCTTGGCGATCTACGTCAGTGTACCGCCCCACTCGGCAGTCTCAGCGCATACTATGCAAGAATCCGGATCCACCCTCATTGCCAGTGAATGCATCTAAAGCATGTAAGCCGCCAGCGCGGGAAAGCACCTTACGTAACCCGCGTCCCATCATCGCGTCCATCTTCATTTTCTGCCTGCTACTCCAGCATCAGGCTGGACAGCTCCCCCTCCTCCAACCATCACTCCGCTATCCCACCGCCAAAATGCCCGTCGTCAAGGGAGGCGTCTGGACCAACATTGAGGATGAGATCCTCAAGGCCTCCGTCTCGAAATATGGCCTCAACCAATGGGCGCGCGTGTCGTCCCTGCTGGCGCGCAAGACGCCCAAGCAGTGCAAAGCGCGATGGAACGAATGGCTCGACCCCAGCATCAAGAAGATCGAATGGAGCAAGGAGGAGGACGAGAAGCTCCTGCACCTCGCCAAGCTCATGCCGACCCAGTGGCGCACCATTGCCCCCGTCGTCGGCCGCACCGCCAACCAGTGCCTCGAGCGCTACCAGAAGCTCCTCGACGAGGCCGAGGCCCGCGAGGCCGGCGGCCTGGGCCTGACGGGGCCCGACGGCGCCGAGACGCAGGCCCCCTCTGCCGACGACGTGCGGCGCTTGCGGCCCGGCGAGCTCGACCCGGACCCCGAGAGCAAGCCGGCGCGGCCCGACACGATCGATCTCGACGAGGACGAGAAGGAGATGCTGAGCGAGGCGCGTGCGCGTCTCGCCAACACGCAGGGCAAAAAGGCCAAGCGCAAGGCCCGCGAGAGGCAGCAGGAGGAGTCGCGCCGTCTGGCCTCGCTGCAGAAGCGTCGCGAGCTCAAGACGGCCGGCATCAACATCAAGGTCGTCACGCGGAAGAAGGGCCAGATGGACTACAATGCCGACATTCCCTTTGAGAAAAAGGCCGTGCCGGGCTTCTACGATACCGCCGACGAGATTGTCGCCAACGAGCGCGCGCGCGAGGCGTTCGACCCGCGGAAACAGCACCTCGCCAACAAGCGGAAAGGAGACGGCGACGACGACGGCGACAGCAAGAGGAGGAAGAAGGACAAGGACGGTGCGTCGGCGTCGCACCAGGCCGCCATGAAGGCCGGTCAGCAGCAGAAGATCAGAGAGGCGGAGCAGAGCAGCAAGAGGCGGGCACTTAACCTGCCTGCCCCGCAGGTCAGCGACGGCGAGCTCGAGGATATCGTCAAGATGGGTATGATGGGTGAGCGTGCCAGCAATCTGGCCCGACAAGCCGAGAACGACTCGACGCGCGGCCTCGTCAGCGAATATTCGACGCTCAACAACGGCACGCCCATCCGCACACCTCGCGCGCCTGCGCAAGAAGACCACATTGCCAACGAACTCCGAAACATTCGCGCCCTGACAAACACACAATCGTCCCTGCTGGGCGGGGAGAACACGCCTCTACACGAGGGCACCCAGTCGACAGGCTTTGATGGCATTGCGCCGCGGAAGCACGTTGTATCCACGCCCAACCCCCTGGCCACACCCTTGAGAGCTGGTGCAAACGCCGTAGGAGCGACACCGGGCCGGCCAGGGCAGACGCCCATGCGAACGCCTCGGGACAGCTTTGCCCTCAACGAGGACGGCACTTCGCAGGTCGGCGCCACACCCCGCGATGTGAAGATGCGCGAGCTGGCCGTACGCAACCAGCTGAAGCAAGGCCTCGCATCTCTGCCGAAGCCGAAGGATGTCGAGTGGGAGCTCGAGCTTCCCGAGGAACAGCAAGAGGTCGTCAAGACGGACGACGAGCTGCGCGAGGACGCCTCGCGCCGTGATCGCCGCGATCGGGAGACCCGCGAGGCTCTGGAGGCGTTAGAACAGAAACGACGGTCTCAGGTCATGCAGAAGGACCTGCCCCGGCCGGTCTCCATCAACATTTCTGCGTTGGTCTCGCTGGCATCCAAAATCGGCGATGGACCCGAGGGCCTGATTGCCGCGGAAGCCGCCAAGCTCATCGCCAACGACGCGACCAAATTCCCCCAGCCCGGAGGCAAGGTGAAGGGGTCCGCGCCTCCGCTGGATGTCATCGGCGACAGTGACCTGGCCGCGGCTCGGCAGGCGATCGCGGCGGAGACGGCGGAAATCCCAGGCCTCGAGCAGGTCCAACAGCACTTTGAAAGCCGCAGCAGCAGTTCTCTCCTCCTCGGTCTCGGCTGCTACGACGATGACGAAGAGCGCCACCAGGAGACAGTCATGCGCGCCGCGTTCGATGTAGGTCGTCCCGAGAAGCAACAGGAGATGGAGGACGTCATGGCTAACATGTTGCAGACCGTGCAGGACTCGATCATCGCGTCGGCAGACCGGGGCACCAAGCTGGAGACGAAGCTGAAGCTGCACCTCGGCGGCTACCTGAAGCGCCAGGCGCTGCTGCGCGAGAAGATGAACGGCGCGCACGAGGCGCTGGAGAAGGCGAACAATGCACTCCACGGCTTCAAGACGCTGGCCATCTCGGAGGAGGTGGCCATCGCGCGCCGTCTCGAGGCGTTGCGCGAGGAGGTCGGCTTCGTCAGCCGCAGGGAGAGGGAGGCGCAGGAGATGTACAGGCGGACCAAGGACGAGCTGGACACGCTCAGGGGCGACGGGGCTAATGGCGTTCACTGATGCCGTGTTGAACGATGAGAATGTTGTACAGTACTGGGCTTGCGCGTACGAGACGGTTGGTGTTCTTGGTTTTAGTCGCTGACGGCCGTGGGCCGGCCTACCGATGGAACGCCCGTGTCGGCGTGTGGTGGGTTGCAGTCCTATCCGTAAGACTACGAAGGACGGCTTTACGCAGTGCACCACTTCGTTGACGTACATGTTGTATTGGATGGGTGACTTGATATGTGCGCCCCGTGGGCCTACTGTGCCGTTCCATTCTTTCTGCATAACCTGACATTCAACCTGAAGCATCAAGACTGCCCGCAGCGGACACTCGCCAAGCGATCCAACTTGCCACGATGTGCCCCTCATAATCATGCATGCCGCAGATACATGGACCCAAAAATGGGAAACAGAACGGCAGAGGAAGGGAAACCAACGGGAGAGAAAAGGGAACAGCGCATCAGAGCAGGCTCACTTCCTCTGCCCAAGCCTCGGCAGCTTCACCGGCACGATCAGGCACCACGACACGAACGCCACGGCGACACAGCACAGAAAGGTCAGGCGCAGCGCAGCCTCGTAGCTCAGCACGACCTGCTCGCGCGCGGGGCCCTCGAGGGCGGCGACCGTCTCGACGCTCTCGCGGACGCGGGCGATGATGTCGGCCTTGGCGGGCCCGGCGACGTGGCGGTCGAGGTAGACGACGAGGGCGTTCTGCATGACGAGGCTGCTGGCGGCGATGCCGAGGACCATGCCGAGGCTGCGCCAGAGGATGAGGGTGCTCGTGACGACGGCCTGGTCGCGCTGCGCCGACACGGCGAGCACGGCCATGAAGGTGCCGGGGAACTGGAAGCCCTGGCCCAGGGCGTGCGGCACGAGGACGGCGAGGTAGCCGAGGGCCGGCCAGCCGCGCTGCAGGCTGGCGAGGGCGAGGGTGCCGAGGACGAAAAAGGTCGCGCCGGCGGCGAGGGGCCACTTGAGGCGGCGCGTGCGCGTGATGAGGAGGCCCGTGATGGCGCCGGCCGTGGAGGCCACGACCGACGGGATCACGAGGCGGAGGCCCGAGTCGGTGGCCGACAGCAGGAGGACGGCCTGGAAGTAGAGGGGCATGTTGAAGAGGATGGCGTTGGTGAGGATCGAGGCGAGCGCGTTGGCAAAGATGAGGTTCATGCGCGGCGCGTGCCGGACGAGATGGAGAGGCATGATGGGACGCGTGGCCAGCGACTGGCTGTAGAGAAAGGTCGGGAAGGCGACGGAAAAGGTGACGAGCGCCGCCATGACGAACGGATGGGACCCTGCGAGTTTCTGTCAGTCCGAGCTGCGGCACATGGACGTCAGGTGTACTTACAGGGCAGCACGTTTCCTCCCAGGTTCTGCCAGGCGCTCGAGGGCGCATCGGATTAGTCTTCTTCGTGGCCAAATGATTCAGTCTAGTGACTTACCAGGCCGAGCACAAGTGATGTGATGGACATGGTCAGCAGCAGTGAGCCCCTCGCGTCAAACGCCTGGAGAGCCTCCAGGAACGTCTCTCGCTTGCCCACGATGCCGAGGTCATGGGGCACGGCCAGAAAGGCGACCAGGACGCAGACGAGAATGGGGAGCACCTGGATGCCAAACTCCCACCGCCAGCCAAGGTGGTCGGCCATGGCACCGCCGAGAGCAGCGCCAAGAGCCGAACCGATGCCGTAGGTGATGTTGAGGTAGGACTGGTACTCGCCTCGTGCCCTAGAAACATGGTCAGTGTCATGACGAATGGCATGGCCACACTCTCTTTGAGGAGGCAGAAGACGTACTCAATGGTCACCATGTCACTGATGATGATACTCCCCAGCGTCATCATGCCTCCGGCGCCGAGGCCGCACGCGGCTCTGGCAAAGATGAAGCTTGTCATGCTCGTGGCCGTGGCACACCACACGTTGGCCATGGCAAAGATGAACATGGTGATCAGGTAGGGCGGTTTCCGTCCCACCGAGTCCGAGATGCGTCCCAGCAGGGGCTGGAAGCTGGTCGAGGTGAGCAGGAAGGCGGTCGAGAGCCAGGACGCGCTGTTGGAGGCGTTGAAGTAGGAGGTGATGACGGGGTGGCTCGAGGCCATGATGGTGCCGTCGAAGCAGGCGATGAAGTTTAGCGTCAGGATCATGCTGAAGATGCACCAGAAGCGGCGGGTGCTGACGCCGTTCAGGTAGGGGGACGCTTTGGCATCGTCGTGGCTGTTCGGGAGGAGGGGGTCGCCGTCATCGTCCTCGGCGTCGAGGTAGGGGGACGACGGTCCGTCTTGGTCGTCAGCACCATTCGCAACATGGTCAACGATTGACGGCCGTGGACTCTTTCGGCTCTGGCTCTGGCTCTGGCTGTGACTCGTCGTCGCACCGGCTCGCTGTCTGGAAACCGAGCTGTAGCGACGGGCACCTCTCAACAATGGATTCTCAGTTGACTCGGGCTCGAGAAATCCGCCTGATGTCGGCACGGATCTTGCGAGAAGAAGATCAAACTCGTTTGGATCAATTTCGTCCCCCTCGTCACTATCGTCAGAATCTCTGCGGCCACGTCCGGTCCTCGGCACAGTCAGATGGTTGGTCGTCGCGGAGCTGTCTGTTGTTCCAAGCAGTGGTGTGTTCTCGTCGGCGCCTTGTGGCCGCGAGAGCGGGGATACATCTTGGCTGTCACTTCTCGTAGCCATGGCGTCCACGTCCACCCTTTTCTTGGCCTTCTACAACAGAAGAGCCCACAAAAGGGGAAATGTTGGCGATGAGGATTGATCTTTGATGAGGCGGGGCCTGATTGATCGTTCCTATGGTGGGGCAGCTTCGGAATGCTGCAAGCGTCAGCAGGCGGAAAGGCGAGGCGATCACTTGTTCGTCACCTGTACTGGGTGTGTTACTCATGTACTTCACCTCCTGGTTGTTGGCGCGACAAGAGAAGAAGTGCGCGAATGAACAAGGCTGGCGACAGGTGAAGAGTATGAGCAGCCAAAGTTGGGGCACGAAGCATGATGTGATGCGATGCGGGGCCGGCACCGGAGCTTGTCCATGCCCCGCCGGCCTCTGTTGGCTCGGCGCCATCCCCGGTCGTGCCGAGCGACCGGCTCGTGCCGACAGCCACGTCCTCTTTGCGCGACGGCCTCTGTCTCCTTGAGCTATATACGAGTGATTACTGCTGTCTATGAGTGCTCATCACATGGCACAAATCGGCAGCATAGTCCGTAGTTACACGTCAGGCCTACACGTGGCCTGCCATACACATGGCCGCGAAAAGCGCGGTAGACTCCTCACTCCTGCACTCGAGCTCACTGTTGATCAGAGGGGGCCTGGGCTTCGCCTCGTGGCCACGAATGCATGCAACCCTGCAGAATGTCCAGCCTCTCCTCGGGGAGCCACGCTAGGAAGCCTTGCACAAAGTCGATGAACACTTGCTTGTCCTCTCCTTGAAGCGTCCCCGCAAGACGCGCAAAGCTTATATCGGGCAAGGGTACGAGTCCCTTCCACTGACCTATCAGGCAGCTTCTGTCAGTCATCCACATGGTACCATGTTTTCTGACCCAAAGGCGGTCCGTACCATCGTCTTCCCAGTATTTGTTCGCCTCCTGGCTCCTCTTGAGAAACTCGGCCGGCGGTGGGCCAAGCAGAGCAGTCATGGCTGCGAGGTGATGCGCGTCATTCTTCTCTTTTGACTCGTCATCGTACACGGTGAAGAGAGTTTCTCGCTCGACAAGATCCCACGCCTACACATGCGGGGTCGACAGGGACCTCTCTTGGGTAGACGCCATGGCGATCCTATGCTTCGACTTGGCCAGCGAATGACGGATCGCGGGGATGGAGTCAAAAAAGAGATGCAGAGAAGGAACCTCCGTGCAAACATGTTGGCAGTGACCTCGCTGGCTCTCAGAACCTGTAAGATACCTACTTGCTACCAAGGTGCCTCTACCTTGGATACCTAGGCATCTCGGTAAGCTACCTGTAGGTACCGGCCTTTGAGCTGGTAGCTAACGTTGTGCTGCTGTGTTCCGTTGAAACACATTCGAGTATAAATGCTGTACGAAACCACTCAGGGCATCAAGCTTGATTCCGGCTTCATCTCAGCCAAGACCATCATGAACGGCAGACGGCGTTTGACTCACGAGTATGGGTGCATCAAACACAAAAGTCCAACTCCCCAACCCACCAACCAATGTTGGTTGGGATACTTCTCAAGGACATCATCAGACGGTGGGCTTGCGTTCAGCTTTGGATGAGAACTAGAAGACAAGAAACTCGGAACCAGTCACTCTAGCAAAGACAATACTCTAATAGCCTGATGGGCTAGTCGACCAAAGTAGAACATACGAATTGGCGGCTTTGCTGGTTGGGACTGGCAGGAACACCAACACGAGCCGAGCTCTTTCGAACGTAGAACACGCCTGATCAAGAGCTTTCCTAGTGACCGGAATGAACTCGGAAAGTCAATGTCTCTCGTTTGACTCCGTCTGGACCGGAGGCACATTCACAAAGGACGTCTAATCATTGTTTTGCAACACGCTTAGCTGAGATGAATCATGTTAGTTGGGTGCGGAAAAGACGAAATTGAGGCAGAGCCCAGAGCCCCCATGGGACGGATCCCATTGCCATGCTGGCGAAGGGAGCTATAAGTGTCCAAGGCGAAGACACTTCATGGCAGTGTGTCACGTGAGATATGCAATCTAAAGCCTCGAAGCCGACTAGTCAACACACAACTGAAACAACACACCGCACAGCTTCCTTCAAGGTACATTGAGTCTAACCATGTCAGCATCCAGGGCTGTGGCCAAGACTTGGAGCAGGTCGGCAAAGTCAACCTTTAGAAGTTCTGACCGCAAACCGGCGACTGGTCCCGAGTGGCTCCATGCTCTCGATGCTGCAAAGAAAACTGTGCAAGCTGATGTACATTTGACCCCGAGGCAGTATTACTTGTTGATTGACTGGCCGTATTCAGCATCCTGATGTCACCTCATATAAGATTGCGTAAGTCATTTTTGGAGCATGAGTATTTCTGCATCGGTGCCAGCCTGACGCTGTATAAATAGCAGCGGAGCCAAGGCTCATCAGTCCCATAATGGGAGGCCCACTCGAATGTGATCAGTGTCAAGTTCTTGGCCGGCGGCCAGAGGGTCGTGTCGGGCCATATCCACCTGGGCGGCAAATAGACTACGGGAAGAGGGGCTAAGGCTAAGGATGCATGTCAAAGGGAGTGCTTGCTTAAAGCTAGGCACGGCGATGCGCCGAGAATGCTATCAGATGAAGACATCTCGCAGTGTACTTGGGTTTTCTTGATTTACTTGAGATGACTTGCAATATCATGAGAGATGAACCAACATGGGCTTTCTTGCATGGCGCACGATCCTAGAGATCTGGTACGGCCATACAGCTGATTTCTGCCGGCAAGTCGGGAAATATATGGGAGTTATCAAAAGCCTCGAAATCGACATCGATTCACTTGTCTGACATTGTCTATAATGAGCTTCAAACGCTAAATGCGGATATACAACGACATGTAACATGTCCTGCTCGTCCTTCTCCAGAGCTGAACAGCTATCACTTCCTCCGCGACGGCCTCGCGTTCTTGGCCCTCTTCTTCTCCGCCTCTTTCCTCGCCTTGCGAATATCCTCGGCCCCCTTGATCTCGAACTTGCTGCCGGCGCCGTCCTTGAAGCGACCGATACGCTTCTCCTTAGCCTCAGCCACCCTCTTCTTGCGCACGTGGTAATCGTCACGGAACTTGTCCGCCTCCTTGGGCGCCTTCTCCAGGTTGTGCTTGTACCGCACCCCCGTCGGGATCTGCGGCGCGTTGCTCTTCTCGAGCTCGCCCACGCGCGGCTTGCCCATTCTGTTGGCCTTGCGCCACTTGTCGTAGCGGCCGCTCTGGAAGCTCGCCGCGATCTTGGTGCCGCTCTCGCCGCGGATGTACTTCTTGCCCTTGGAGCCGTCCTCGTCATTGGCGCGCGCCACGTACTTGTTCTGCTTCTTGTCCCAACGCATGCCCGACTTGGCCTGGTCGCCGAACTGTGCCTTGCCGCCGTCATCGTTGGTCAGGTTCATCGCCGCTTCGCGCGCCTGCTCGACGAAGCTCGAAGTCTGTGTGCCGGAGGAGATGCCGTAGCCACGCTCCTCGGCCGTGTTGATCGTGCGGGGCGTGTAACCCATGAAGATCTCGTCGTCACGGTACGAGTTGGCCGCCTTCTTCTTCTTGTCGTCGGGGTTTGAGACTGTCACCTCGAGGTCGTCATCTGAGTCGTCCACATCGATGCCGTCCATCTCATCGGCACCCTCACCGATTGCCGCTTCATCGTCGTCATCGTCGTCAAAGTCCTCCATGTCCTCGTCCGAATCGATTTCTTCCTCCGCTGCTTGACCTCTCCTCGGCGTGATCCTCTTGCGCAGCTCCTTCATCACCTCGGCCGCCTCGCTGTTGCCCGCCTTCCCGCCCCTGCTAATCTCAAAGATGGTCTCGTGCGGCCGGTAGCCGCTTACCTTGGCCATCAGCTCCGCCCGCGCCTGCGCATCATCGTCCTTGACCTCGTCAAAGAGCGGGTGCAGCTGTGACCACGCCTTGCTCCCGACCGTCTCGCGCGCACGCCTTGCGCTTTGGCTCGACGCCGAGTTGCGCGTCTTGAGGTAGAGCTTCTCGGCCTTGACAGAGACCCTCCGCGTGGCCTCGATATCCTCGTGGTCGCCCAGGACTTTGGCCAGCCACTCCATGTGCACCTCGATCCTGTTGCGCGGCAGCGCACCCACAACGACTTCTTCGTTGTAGGACGGGCTCTCGCTCTCACGGCCGACCACCATCTTGCGTCCCAAGAATAGCTGCAAATCGAGCAGGTAAGGGGCATCGAGCTCCCTAACGATGCTGTAGGCCCAACCGCGTTGACCGGCACGGGCAGTTCGACCGACACGATGCACAAAAACTTTGGGCTGGGGCGGAAAGTCGTAGTTGATGACATTCGCCAGCACAGGAATATCGATACCTCGAGCAGCGACATCTGTGACGACCAGGATGTTGGACCTGCCGTTGCGAAAGTTCTCCGTGTGTATCCTACGCGCTTCCTGGTCGAGCGCACCATAAACGTAGGATACGGCGAAACCAGCCACCCGCAGCAAGTTCGCCAGGTATTCAACGTGATGCTTGGTCGCCGCGAAAATGATGGTTGAGTGTTCTGTAGGCTTTCCCTTGCCGCCCGAGCCGTCCTTTCCGCGCTTTCGCTTCTTGTTAGGCTTGCCGTCAAGAGGCATGCCGTCGGGGCTGCCAAGCGGCATCTTGATGATGTCGTGAAGAATGTGCAGGAGGGACGCTTCCTTTTCGGCTCCCTTGACGCCAAAAAAGGCACTTTCGAGGTCTGGAGACACCTTGGTCTCGATATCTAGTCGCACAAGGGTGGGATCCTGGAGACCAGCACGCGCGAATTCGACGAGCGACGCAGGCAGCGTCGCGGAGAACAGCAGACTTTGCCTCGAAGGGGGAAGCGCATGCAGGATCTCGGTGAGTTGGGCCGCAAAACCCATCTCGAAAAGACGATCGGCTTCGTCGAAAACGACGTACTGGATGGAGGAAAGGTTCAGGGACATCTCGACCTTCAAATGCAAGAATCGACCGGGCGTGGCGATGATAATGTCGGGGTTGGCCGACAGCAGACTAAACTGCTCGTCCATGCTGTCACCACCGACAACCAGTGCCGCCTTGAGGTCCGTTCCTTTGTTGAAGTCCTTGACGACTCTCAGCGTCTGGATGGCCAGTTCGCGAGACGGCGACATGATGAGGGCTCGGGCACCAAACTTGGCGCTGTGCGTCTTGAGGCGCTCAATCATGGGAATAACGAAGGCAGCCGTCTTTCCGGAACCGGTGCGGGCCATGCCCACGACGTCCTTGCGGTCCATGATCAAGGGAATGGTTTTGCGCTGAATGGGCGTCGGCTGCACAAAACCCTTCTTCGTGATGGCTCGGAGGAGATTCGAATTGAGACCTTTGCACGTTAGCTGCTGCTCGAACGCATCGTCGTCAAGACAGCTTTCTGCTCACCCATGACCTGGAAGCCACCGCCCTTTTTGTTCACCTTGCCCGTGAGGTTGGTCGTTTTCCTGTTGGCGGCGGCCTGCTTGAGGGCAATGAAGGCCTCATCTCCGTCGTCGCCATCATCGTCTCCGTGAAGAATGTCGTCAACATCGAAATCCAGCTCGGCGTTCTGGCGCTTGCCCTTCTTGCCATCGTCACTGGCGCCATCATCAACAGCAAAGAGAGAGTCGCCAATGTCGTAGCCGCCGTCGGACGGCGTGGGAGAGGCTTCGCGGCGAGGCATCGTGACAAGACGCTGTCGTCGTATCAGAAGGCCACAATTGTCGGGTTCAATGTCGAAGTCGAGATTGAGAGACGAAGGTCGGGCTGGAGAAGGGTTCCGCTCATCGACAACGGGGACCTCGAAAATTTGGGCGGCGGAAGGTGCAGTCGGCCAGAGAAAATCTTATCGCAACGTCTTATCGCAGCTAGTGCGGGACAGCTGCTCGCAAGGGTCCCACGCCGCCCGCCGCCGCTGTCTGCTGCCTGCCGCCTGCCGCCTGCCACGCTACCGCCTGTCAGCCGATGACTTCAGCGCGTGCTACCTACAGGTACCTTGTATCTATCGTTCATTTCCTTTGTCGCCCTGGTCCAACTACAACACCTGCTGCCACCACCACCCAACCACTCTCTTCATCTGACTTGTCGATTCTCTCGCTGCTCTGATCCATCCTCACAATACGATGGCCAATGATTCAAAAGAAGAGACTGATGCGCTCGATGCGCTCGAGCTCGAGGCCAAGGAGTTTGACAAGGTAGGCACGCGACACCTCAACCTTTCGTCCCCCCCCCCATCATGGCCCTCAGATAACCCATGCACCAGCTGACATTTGCAGGACGCCGAGATTGACAGAATCCTAAAAGCCTTCCGCCTCGATGCCTATGCCGTTCTTGACCTGCAACCAGGTGTGCCCGACTCGGACATCAAAATGTGCTACCGAAAGAAGTCGCTCCTTATCCATCCCGACAAGACCAAGAACCCGCAGGCGCCTGACGCCTTTGACCGCCTCAAGAAGGCCCAGACCGAACTCATGGACGAGAAGCACCGCGAGCGCCTAGACGAGGCCATTGCCGACGCCCGCATGCTGCTGATTCGTGAGAACAAGTGGACCGTCGACAGCGAGGAGCTCAAGACGCCCGAGTTTGCCAAAATGTGGCGGGACAAGTCCCGTGTTGTCCTCATCGACAATGAGCACCGACGACGCAGGCAGCTGAAGGGTCAGATGCAGGAGGAAGGTCGCGAGCAGAAGAAGCAGGAGGAGGAACTCGACCAGAGGAAACGCAAGAGGCAGCACGAACAGGACTGGGAGGCCACGCGTGACCAGCGCATCGACAGCTGGCGAACTTTCCAAAAGGGAAAGTCGGGCGAGGGCAAGAAGAAGAAGAAGATGAAGCCCATTGGCTGACCTGCCTCTTACAGGAAGGCCCGCTGCCAACCTCGGGGCGCGTGGAGTGTACCAGGCACAGTCATGGCGTTTAGGTGTTTGGGCGAGAAATATTTTGTGAGTTTGAAAATGGACCGTCGCCGTCATGTCCCTAACTTGTTGTTTGTGTTTGCTCAGTCTGTTGCCTCTCGTGGGCTCTTCTCCCAATTTGGTCACCAAAGGTATGTCATGCCACCTGGTTGTGATGGAACACTTTGAATCGTCATCGACGCATGATCATGAAATGAAGTAGGCCGGGTGCATTTGCTGTTGCTACTATCGAAATACCCCTCCATGGCCCAAGAACCCCAACATTTTGCTCGCTCTCCAGCCATACCATCATTCAGGTCTCTGTTTGCAGCTGTTACGGGCCCCTTTTCATGCCTTGGGCTTGTTCTTCTTCTTATACGAGATGAAGCGTGCGAGGTTAAGCACCACCTCATCGGCCCTTGTCCTCAGCTCACTGTTCGTTCGCTTGTTGATCGCCTTGACCATGGTCTTGACCTTGTGTTGCACCCCCTCCAACTGCGCCAAGAAGTTGTCCTTCCAGAAGACCTCCACATCGCACATGGCGTCCTCATCGCCGTAAATGTCAAATAGTTGGTTGAGCGCCTCGACGACGTCTGCTGCCGGCGTGTCAGGCAGAGACGCAACGACCGTGATCAGAAACACGCCAATCTCCCTGTTCAGAGCCACTGGCGTCGGGTCGAGCGCAAGCTGGCCGAGCACGCCAATGCACTTGACGCCCAGCCCTTGGAAGGGGTCCTGCTCCTCGTCCCGACCGTTCGTCTTGTCATCGGCACCCCCAACCTTGCTGTCCAACGTCTTGGACGCCTGGTACAGCGCCATGAACTTCTTGTGCTCCTCGCCCTGGAAGGGAATCCTTCCGCCGGGCAGGGTGCGGGCAATGGCCCACGCGAGGCTCGTCACCTGCGACGCGAGCTCAACGTCGGCCGTGTTGGCGGCGAGGACGGCGCAGATGGTGTTCTCCCAAATGGCCTTGCCGGCAGGAGCCCAGGTCCTGAGGATGGATGCGTTGTCGTCCTTGGTGAAGTCGAAGCAGGCCACGGACCAGGCAATGTTGTTGAGGGCTGAGAGGGCTGGAGCCTGCAGGCTGGCGTCGCTGGGTGAAGTAGAGGAGTTGGCGAGGCGCATAATCTCCGGCACCGCCTTGTGCACTAGTTCGCTGAGAGTCGTAAGATCGTCCGAGGCGACTTCGTCGTCATTGTCCACACCCGTGACCATTTCCATGTCTGCCTGGATATCACCAATATCATCATCATCGTCCTCCTCTTCCTCTTCCTCCTCCCCCTCGTCGTCGCCTTCCATCTTGGAATCGTCCATGTCTTCATCGTCGTCCTTGGCCTCGGCCTTTTCTCCATCCTCCTCCATCGCCTCGTCGCCGTTGGCCTCCTCCTCGGCCTTGCCCTGGCTGTTCGCCATGGACTCCTGCAAGCTCGTGCCGATGGAAGCCAGAATCTCCAGCGCCAGCTGCAGCACCTCGGCAGGCTTCGACCACTGGCTGCTTGCCGGCAGCGTCTCGTCCGCCTCGGCCCCCTGCTGCAGGGCCGACGACAGCGTCCTGACGAGGCTCGCGTCCGACAGGTCCTTGTTCCCGGCCGGCTGCCCGTCGTACCACTTGAGCGCGGCAAAGACGTTGTGCAGGACGCCGCAGGCGAGGACCCGGCCGGCGCCGTGCGCGCCCTGCAGGCCGAGCAGCGCCGAGAAGGGCTTGGGGTCCTCGTCGGCGACGACCAGCTCGGCGAGGCGGCGGTTGTCCTCGGTGAGGATCAGCAGGCACGAGAGGGCGTCGAGGCGGACGGGGGCGGGGGCGTCGGCGCTCGCGAGGGCGAGGAAGAGCAGGGTGACGGTGGCGGGCAGCGCGACGATGGCCTCGAGAATGTCGTCCTGGGCCTCGGAGAGGGCGGTCAGCAGGGCGAGCAGCGACTCGATGAGGGACCAGAGGACTTTCTGCTCGGCCTTGCCCGTCTTGGCGCCCTTGGACTTGATCGTCTCGACGACCTGGGGCGCACATGTCAGTCTCGGACGTTCAAGTCAAAAGCGATCCTGTTCCTTGCAGGTGAGGAAGGGGGGGGATGCACGCACAAACTTGGCAGCAAACTCGACGGCGCTCAAGACGTCGGATCGGAACAGGTGCACGCAGAAATCGGCCTCCTCCTCCTCGGCGAGCAGCCTCAGAATGTCCCATCCGGCGGCGCGGCTCTCGAGGCTCGCGTCGGTCAGCGTCTCGCTCAGGATGATGTGGACGATCTGCTCGCGCAGGAAGAGCTTGCGACAGCGCGTGTCGGCGACGAGGTTGGCGACGGCGGCGGCGGCAGCGGTGCGGCGCTTGGGGTCTGCGCTCTGCAGGTCCTTGATGACAGGAAGGACGGACTTTTCGCGGAGGGCGGCGAGCTCGGGGTCGGAGGGGGGCTTGGGGGTCGTGGAGAGAGGGTCCTTGCGGTTGGGACGCACGCGGTTGCGGCGGGTTTTGCCCATGGTTGCGATGTGATTTTGTTCAGATGCTTATGTTTGGGAGAGATGTGCGGGGGGCAAACTGAGGACCTGAATGGCTATGCCTGGGGTGTTGCGATGAGAAAAGGTGAGTGAGCAGCAGCCGGCAGGTAACTCAATGTATATGTGAAATCTCATCGTGACCGACCATATAAAAATGCATTTTGTAGTGCCGAGTGGCACCCCGCCCCCACCCACCGCTGTGCCGGGTGCGAGTCCCACAATTGCCCGTGCGCTGCTGCCGGCCTACGGGGTTCGAGAACGGGCGCTCGGCCGTCGCGCCGGTTTGCGCATGGAGCGCATGAAGCGACATGCAGCTTGATGCTTGTCAGACGAGAATGCCTGTTCTGGTTAGAGGCTGGGTTGACAGTACCTTGGAAAATCTCGACAGCATCCAACCAAGAGTTCCGGATCATCTCTGAAGAAGAGTACCGACCTGCCGTCCTGTTAAATTATTGTTTCATCCTCATTCGTGTCAGCCTGCAGACAGTTCAGGCAAAGATCTCACCGCGACGGCCAACCGTACTTCGTCTCCTAGCTTGTCTGATTTCACACCAAAGATTTCCTCCGAGTCTGGCCGGCAAGTGACCCGAAGACACATGTCACTCGACTCAGTGGTCAAAGACCGGTTAGGACAATACCCATTGACCTGCGTGATTTCGAATAGGTCATTGCGAAGAGATAATTGGGCATAAATTCGATGCAATCTGTCGAAGAAACAACTTGAAGATAAATGTTTTGTCATGGATGGCTACGTCTTGGTCCAGCTCTGTGGGCACGCGATGGATGAGGTGTACATGGCTGTTCCATGAGATACCCCTTGCGAGGATTTCGATTACAATAACATGTCATGAATACAGCAATGCTAATGAGGGGCCTTTATCTCAGGGTCTGAATCGCAATTAGCTGTGCTAATGCGCAAGGTACCCTGTCAAGCACATTCCATCAAGAGAACAGGGCTGAAATGTCATGCATTCTACCTAGCCTTGTTCGACTAACCATTGGGTTCAGGACGATGACTAAGCCATCTGGGTCACGAACCTACAGTGACGGCGCAGCACCAAAGCACTCCCTGCCAAGCCTGCACAAGGTACCCTGGCTCCACAAGGACCTACCTGAGATACGACCTGTCTCGTGGAACACTCCAGGCAGTCACCTTACTTCCCCTGGCCGACAACAACACCCTCCTCGTGGAGAGGGACAAGGAGCTTCTGCTCGCCGACACCCTTGATTGAATTCGAAAATGTGAGGCTGCATGCCACATCTTCCTCCATCTTGATACCAGAACCCCATGACTTCTCGAGTTGGCGAGGACGAAGCAATGAGCAAGCCGGCCATGTGGACGCAGCTGCGCTCCTCTGTATTCCTCAGCGATGAAGAGCTGGGAAAGAAGGACGACGATCACCAGCTTGCCGGAACCGCTGTGCTCCGAAACCCACATTGGCAGCCCGCGACGACTACACCTTCTCGACGACTGCTGAAGCGCATCGCCGTCCTCTTCCTCGCTGCTATTGGCCTCTGGCTCGTGTCGCGCGACATACTACTCGACCTGGGTTATGGCGACCACCGAAAGTCTCGATATAGCTATTCCGGCCTCTCTGCCTCTGGGGACACTGTTCCATATAAACAACATGGTCCCGCCGTAGGAAACACCAAGCCGAGCGATACAGCGGCCGTGAAGCCAGCGCCCACCGTGCCGGACCACTCCTTCAATGGACCCATCAAGTTCCACGACCTTGCCGTATCCCTGCACGCCATTTCGAAACTGAGAGGCTCTTTCCCGGTCAACAAGAACATCCTTTTCATGACGGCGAACCTGAAGACGGCGTCCGTCCTGTTGCCAATGGCCTGCGAAATGGGCAGGGAGAGGCGCAACCATGTTCACTTTGCGCTCCTGAGCAGAGACATGATTGGCATGGAGGATTTGCAGCAGATCAACGGCCTCGACGATTCTTGCGAGATCCACTTCCACGACGCCCGACCCGACTTTGTCTCGACTTCGTCAGACACCCGGCTCCAGTACGCCACTGCTCGAGCTCTTTTCCACATCAACACCTACATGCACCCGCAGGTCATCATCATCGACAGCACCGAACAGGAGGAATCCTGGTTCAAAAAGGGGGCGAAATTGCAAGGCGACTTTATGGGCACACCTGTCATCGAGCTCCCAGACAATGCGGCAAAACGTCTTGGCTGGCTGACCAAGCTCGACAGCTCATCCTTGGCTACTTGGCACAAGATCAACATTGACATTCTCATCCACGCGCCTTCTACCGGTTCGGGCAGCCTGGGACGGCTTCTCAAGTCGCTTCACGTAGCTGACTTTACTGCCGGCACGATGCCCCACCTGACCATTGAGCTGCCCCAAGTTGTCGAGCAGGCAACGCAACGGACGCTGCAAGCGTTCCGATGGCCGCCAGCACACATGGCACACACCCATGGCAACGCGCAGATGCTGTCTCTGCGACACCGCATCCCGCGAGAGCGCCTGACCGAAGAGGAGAGCTCGGTGCGGTTTCTCGAGTCCTTCTGGCCGCGGTCCGAGGAGCACTCGCACGTCCTCGTCCTTTCGCCACAGGTCGAAGTGACACCCCAGTTCTTTCACTGTAAGTTTTCACCACCGCCGCCATGTTGACAGCATGCGGTGCTGACCGGAGTCTGGCAGATCTCAAGTTCATGCTGCTCGAATACCGTTACTCCGGGACAGCCCTGTCACAGCAGTGGGACCGCCAAATCATGGGCTTCAGCATGGTCGTGCCGCAGGCGTTCATCAATGGAACTCTGGGTTTCGAGGAGCCCGATCCCCTCGACCCCGAGCGGCAAGAGGGGAAAGGCGGCGGCTTTCTCTGGCAGGCCCCGCACAGCGACGCCGTCCTCTTCATGGGCGACAAGTGGGTCGAGCTCCATCGCTTCGTCTCCCAGACGCTGGAGCGACAGCACGACGCCTCGCCGCCGGCCGTCCTCTCGCACAAGGAGGTCGGCAAGCAGTATCCGTCGTGGCTCGAGCATGTCCTGCGGCTGTCGCAAGCGCGCGGGTACCTCACCGTGTATCCCGGCGCCGAGACGGCGAGCGTCATGGCGACGGTGCACAGGGACCTCGCGCGGCCGCCGGAGGAGTACTGGAAGGGCGTGGCCGCCGACGAGAAGCCGAAGGAGGGCCTCGTCACCCTCGACAACGACACTCCGGTGAGCCCGCTCGTAGGCATCCTCGACACGCTGCCTCGCAGGGGCGCGTTTCTCGCCTACGTGTAGATGCCGATGCTGGCCTGGAAGGGCGCCGTCTCGGACCTGGAGGAGGTGGACCGCTCGGCGCGGGAGTATGCCGCCATCTGGCGAATGAAGGTGGGCAAGTGCGATCCCAAATCCGAAGAGGCGGCCGAGCAGGTGATGGGTCGGCAAAAAGACCTGTTCTGCGAGGGGGCGGACAAGGTAGAGTGAAGGTGTGTGGTGACGAAGAGGAGGGCCCCACTAGGCACAGCAAGCACAGCAAGAGAGAGACGGTTTTGGGTTTTGGATTTTCTTTTCATGATATACCCCTTCCCCCCCTTCCCCCTTTTTTTGAGGGCTGGATACAAGCTTGGGAAGGAGGATCAGCATGCACGCAGCACAGCACAGCACAGTAAAGCAAAGCAGAGCACAGCGAAGCAAGCACAGCACAGCATAGCTCTTGGCATGGAATTTGCGAGTGAACAAACATCAACTTGAGCGTGCCTGCTACCCATCACCCCGTATCCGTGTCGGTGCTGACCTTGGCAATGACGAGCAGCACGACGCAGGTGCCAATGATGGCCACGGCGACGACGCTCAGCAGCAGCTGCGTCTTCCAGCCCGTCTGCACAATGGCGGCCTTGCGGCTGTACTTGTTCATGGTGGAGATGTAGTTGCCGAGGCCGAGGAAGAGGCAGCACACGCTGAGGCCCCAAAAGGTGGCGCCGAGGGGCTTGGCCATGCGCAGCTCGAACTCGCTGGGCTGCGTCTTGAGGTGGAAGGACAGGACGATGGCGACGGAGACGATGGCCATGTAGACGCTGAGGCGGAGGTAGGAGAGGAAGGTGCGCTCGTTGGCGCAGTGGTCGCGGGCGTCGGACGTTTCGTTCTGGAAGAGGAGCGGCGCGTAGAAGGGCCAGGCCCAGAAGGAGGAGTGGCGGTGCTCGGGGCGGAGGTGGGAGATGTGGATGGGGGCGGCGAGGGGGAGGCAGATGGGGGACGGCGTGAGGTCCTCATCGTCGAGCGTGACGTCCATGGTTTGACTTTGATTTGGGAGGGATGAGAGGGCGATGAGAAGCAAGTGCTGTCAGGTGACGGGGATGTAGATGGCGCCTAGTTGGTCAATCAGAAGTCGATGACGTTAGACAGAGGTGCGACTCGTGAGATTGTGAGATTTGACGATGAGAGCGCTTGGTGTTGAGGGGTTGGTCATGTGCAGAGTGCAGAGTGCAGAGGGAGAGGCGATTGCGCGATGGCACGGGACCGATGGTGATTGCGTTGGCGCAGAGGTCATTCATCTGAGAGTGGGAGAGCAGGATTGACGATGGTGGTGTGAGCTGCGTGATTTGCACTGTGCTTGTATGCCCATCTCCTGGCAGATACAGTGCGAATGCATCTTCCCCCAACATCCCGGGATCTCACTGAAGAAACGTTTATAGGGGTTTCTGAAGCTTTGGCAGCACTGCAGGCCCTCGACTTGTCACGATGCTACCTTGTTGTTCGCTTCTCGTGCCATCACTTGCACCCCTAACTAGGTACATCCATTCACCGAAAAGCAGAGGTGCAGCGTCCAGGTTGAACCTCGGCAGTTTGCTAGCGTCCCCCCTTCCCCCCCAAACCCCCCCAAACCCCCCCAAAGCTCCGGGCCGCCTCCACAGGCCCACGGCCTACGACTGTGTGCTGAGTCGCCCGACCTCGGGAGCTACCCGAACATGCCTTTAGACATCTGACAACTGCATCATCGACCGCCTCTACTCCCCCATTCTTCCTCTTCCTTCTGATTCCATCACCCCTCCATTGTGCCATTTCATCACTTTCCGTCCATATACCCTTCTTCAACACATTGCATAATACTCCTCCGACTCTGATACCAGTGATTGAGGGTCTCCTCTGACACAACCAACAATACTACACGCCTCCTGATCGAACCCCGAGAACCCCCCCCCTCCCTCGATGGCGCGTACCCCAGACTCGACCGTCCCCGTCATTCCTCTCGCCCGAGGCACCATCCTCCTCCCCGGCATCACCCACCGCGTGCCCGTCTCCGCCTCTCGCCCCGACATTCCCGCCCTCCTCGCCAACGTCTACACCCGTGCCGCCGCAGCAGGGCCCAACGCCCGCATCGACGCTGTGCCCATTGTCTGCGTGCCCGTCGCCTCCCCTTTCGTCGGCCCCAACGGCCAGCTCCTCATCGACAGCGCCGAGTCCGTCGACGAGTCCCAGATCAAGCAGATCAACCCCGGCTCCGCAACAAAGGATGACCTCTTCAACTATGGCGTCGCCGCCCGCATCACCGGCATCGAAGGCCGCGGCACCGCCGAGTTTGCCTTGCGAGTCGAGGGCGTCGCGCGGGTCCGCGTAGAAAAGGTCACACAGGAGCGCCCCTACTTTGAGGCGACCGTCAGGCACTACCCCGACGTCGTCACGGCCGACGCCCAGCTGCAGGAGCTCTTTGGCCTGATGAAGCTGCGCTCGCGCGAGCTCGTCCTGACCCTCCGCATCTCTTCCCTCCTGCCGACGCCGCGCAATGCCGAGAACCCCGGGCTCTCGCCCCTCATCATCCGACGCCTGGAGATGTTCATCATGAAGAAGGAGGTCAAGGACGCCGGTTCGCTGGCCGACTTTATGACCAACATTGTCGAGGCGTCGTACGAGCAAAAGCTAGAGGTGCTGGCAGCCCTCGACATCAAAGTCCGCATGGCCAAGGTCATCGAGCTGCTTGATCGCCAGGTCAGTGGCCTGAAGAACAGCTTCAAAATCACCGCCTTCACAAATGTACCCGTCCAGGTGCTCGACAAGCTGCACGACAGGTCACCAAAGAGGCGAGGAGCAGGGCCCGGCGGCATGCCTGTGCCGCCCAACGGCTTCTTCCCCCCGGGCGCCAATGGCATGATGGGCGGAGACCAGGACGACGAACAGGAGCCCAACGAGCTGGACGAGTTGAAGAAGAAGCTCGATGCTGCCCGGCTGCCCCCTGAAGCCACAAAGGTTGCCGACCGGGAGCTGCGGCGCCTCAAGAAGATGATGCCTGGCAATCAAGAGTTCCAGGTGACGAGGACGTGGCTAGAGGTGCTCTCTGAGATTCCCTGGTCCGCGACAACCGACGACCGCCTGGGCCCTGAGACACTGGTTCGGGCGCGGAAGCAGCTCGATGATGATCATTACGGTCTTGACAAGGTGAAGAAGCGCCTTGTCGAGTATCTTGCCGTTCTGCGCCTGAAGCAGTCTGTCAACGATGAAGTCGACGAGCAGATCCGCAAGGCCGAGGAGGAATCCGTGGCTCTCAGCACCGGCAAGGAGACGGAGGAGAACAAGCCGGCAAACGACGCTGACCTCGAGGAGAAGGTCAGTAACGCACATGCGAAGCTGAACGTACTCCGCTCTCGCCGCATGACCGACAAGTCGCCCATCATGCTGCTCGCCGGGCCTCCCGGTGTCGGCAAGACCAGCTTGGCCAAATCGATCGCCACGGCGCTTGGCCGCAAATTCCACCGAATCTCTCTGGGGGGCGTTAGGGACGAGGCCGAGATTCGCGGCCATCGCAGGACTTACGTGGCCGCTATGCCCGGCTTGATCGTCCAGGGACTGCGGAAGGTTGGCGTCGCGAACCCCGTGTTCCTGCTCGACGAGATCGACAAGCTGGGCATGTCCAACATGCACGGCGATCCCTCAGCCGCCATGCTCGAGGTTCTCGACCCTGAGCAGAACATAAACTTTACTGACCACTATGTCGGTATGCCCATCGACCTCAGCAAGATTGTCTTCATCGCGACTGCCAACAGCCTCGACACGATCCCAGCCCCGCTGCTCGACCGCATGGAGACCATCTACCTACCTGGCTACACGACGCTTGAGAAACGTCATATCGCCATGCAACACCTCGTGCCCAAGCAGATCCGTGTCAACGGCTTGGCTGAGGATCAGATCAACTTCAACAAGGAGGTTGTTTCCAAGATTATCGAGTCGTACACGCGCGAGGCAGGAGTCCGTAACCTGGAACGCGAAATCGGCTCCGTGTGTCGCGCAAAGGCAGTGGACTTTGCCGAAGCCAAGGACGGCGGACAGCTCGAGACATACCGGGCCCAGCTGACTGTCGACGACATTGAGACGATTCTCGGCATTGAGCGCTTCGAGGAAGAAATTGCCGAGACGACCAGCCGGCCCGGCATCGTCACTGGCCTCGTCGCGTACAGCTCTGGGGGCAACGGCAGCATCCTGTTCATCGAGGTTGCCGACATGCCGGGTGACGGCAGGCTGCAGCTTACCGGCAAGCTGGGCGATGTCCTCAAGGAGAGCGTCGAGGTGGCCCTGTCTTGGGTCAAAGCCCACGCCTTTGAGCTGGGTCTCACGTCGGACCCGACGACCAACATAATGAAGGAGCGCAGCATACATGTGCACTGTCCCTCGGGCGCCATTCCCAAGGATGGTCCCAGCAGCGGCATCGGGCAGGCGATTGCCCTCATTTCGCTTTTCTCCGGCAAGAGTGTGCCACCCACCATGGCCATGACGGTAAGCCTCGCACGAGAAACCTCCCTTCTTTCTTGGGCTTGTACTAACGCGGCCATCTTTCAGGGCGAGATATCTCTGCGCGGCCGAGTCACCGCCGTCGGCGGCATCAAGGAGAAGCTCATTGGGGCCCTCCGCGCAGGTGTCAAGACGGTGTTGCTCCCCGCCCAGAACCGCAAGGACGTCAAGGATCTTCCACAGGAGGTCAAGGACGGGCTCGAGATTCTCCATGTCAGGTAAGCACAAAGCGCCACCTCGCCTGCTGGGGGGAGAGCGGGCAACACAATCCCCTCCCCTCCATGTTTCACACACCGTGTCACCGTCCCAGCTGTCTGGTGTGTCTTCGTGTGACTGACTTATTCTACCCATAGTCACATTTGGGAGGCCGTCCGACTTGTCTGGCCCGAATCGCAGTGGCCAGGCTTGGAGCACTACGCCGCCATCGAGAGCCGTCTCTGATGGCTCGACGTGCCACGTCAGATCGGCGGGATCGAGCGTACATGGTGACCATCTGGTTGATTGGGCGCTGAGTGGACAGTTTCAGCTGGGAGAAGAGCTGTTGTTGGGTGACGAGCTGGCCCCGGCGCATCGGTGTTTGATGCCGCGCTTGCGGTTTGAACGACTCCTCTTGAGTCTTACCTGTACCACATTACGCCATGTCTACACGACTGCCAAACAAATACAGAATGCACCTTCATTCTTCAATAAGCCTGCCGCAAAAAAGAGAGTCTTCGTGATACTGTTGGTGGCAAGTCCTTGCTAGCCCTCTAAGCCCATATTCCCATGCCATGTTCCATGTGCGCACATGTGTGCCGTGCTCTACGTCCAGCAATCTCACGACTTCCTTTCTCTCCGTACTGCGGTTTCGTAACAGTCTTGTCAGAGATTGATTCAGAGACTAAAACCAGCGTGCCTCGCACCTCGTCACCCCGATGAAGCACACCGCAAAAGGGCCAAGCCAGCTACGCCAGCGAGATCTCGTGCGACGGTGCCACGGCCTCCGCCGGAGGAAGCGAGGAGATTAGCAACCTTGAACCGCCCTCCGCGGCACCTTTCATTGGCGGCCTGACGCGGGATTACTAGGAAACGTTGCGTCCCGTGGACGGGTAGAGGGGGGGGGGGGGGCGGGCATTTCAGCTTTGGAAGGCGAGATGGGGGGCACGCGTGTGTCGTTGCACTGGTCTGCTTGGGAAGGGGACGGGCTGGTTTGCGGGCTCTTGGGGATGATGCTCTCGACTTGTGAAGCTGGGCTTGCTGCTTGGTTGCTGCTTCTGCTGTGAGACCTCTTCATAGACGGTGGACAGGGGGCCCGGGGTGAAATCTTGCTGTGCTTATACTGATTCCATGTGTTCGGGTGCCCGTATCACACGTGAGATGGCGTTGAGGGGCTTCGTCCCGCTGTGTATGCCCGAGACGCGGCGGGTTGGGATCGTGTGTTCTGGCTCCGGCTCGAAACGGGAGGTTCCTTCGGTTGTCGGGAATCCAGGGGCTTTCAGTTCGATGCTCTACCGTGTTGTCTGTAGCGTCCACGGGTTTGGCATCGAGCAAGTGTGTGAAGTAATTAATCCCATCCAGAAGATGGGTTGCTTGGCGTGATGTCCTCAGACTGCTTCAGATGGGATCCTGAAGCCTACGTGCCTTGCACAGGTAGTTTACTACACACCGCCCCGAGGCCTCATTGACATCACGCTACGAGACAGATTCGCTTCCTTGAGTATTCGTCCAAGAAGATCACTGAACTATCATTCCTATGCCGTTGGAGCTTGTGTGGCACCCACCAAAGCCCGCACAGTCTTCAACACTTGATGAGGAATATGGCCCCTTGCCAAATCCTGATATCGCCAACAGGACAGCTGAAGCAAGAAATAAAGTTCTACCAGAGGCATGAATCGTTGCTCGTGTACAAACGCTTTGCAGGTGGCGGGCTGCTAGGACCGCCCCTCGAGCCGTACGTGCTGTTACTCGATGCTTCGAGGTTGTATAGTATAAGCCTGGCCTTTAAAGAACCAAATTCCTCCGACATCATTCATAAACTAGCGTGACGACGTCTTCCGCTCGGACTGTAGCCATCACAGCGAGATAAACTTGGCGACATCTATGCTTTCTACTGGGCCTGGATATTGCGTTGCTTGACGAGCAAGTCTGCTGTCTATATTCCTGCATTAAGACCCCTTTGCAACGGCGAAGGTGTATGGGACCTATCGGTAGGGAGGACTACCAGAAACTATCCAACAAAACGCTTCGGGAACTCCCCAGAAGACCTGCACTAAAGCCCAGCGTACTTGTCAACCCGAAAAACACCATGAGGCTTGGCAAAGGAGCAAACTCGTCAAGCTCAGCTATCACGACAGCACAACACAGAACCCCTCAGGGCCCAACGCAGGCTTAGATTACAGCTGCACACCGTCGTATTCAGACGCGGCAGTTGCTTTCTTTCTGAACGAGCGGCGCAACCCCTTCTGGTCACAACTTCATCATTCTGCTACACGGGATGGCAGGGATCAATGCCCCCGATTAGCGAAACCCCTCTCAATGAAGACCTGTTCTACGGAGAAAAGATATGTACTACGGGGAATTTCCTGACCCAACATTTGCAGCCCGAGGGCGGGGATTGCCATAGCCAGCCAAGGCCAGTGACAACACAATTTTTCCATAGGTCGTACGAGGAGAACCAGTCGTACGCAGGTGAGGTGTTCTGTCATCAAGTCGATGTATTTGGTCTCGACCAGCCAGAACCGGAGCATCTAGGGGGTACCCCGGTCAGCATCGTCTACAAGACAGACACCTGGGCCAGATGGAATGGGCATGTCTGCGACTGGTGCGGTCTTTGCGAGTTGTTATCCACCATTCGGCTCGACCATCAAGGAGCAGGATGTCGCTGCCGACATGCCATTAATAAAGTGCTCGTTCAGATTTTGGACGATAAGGTGACAACGGTTTTCTTGGCACATCGGCGTGGCCTATGATGCCAGCAAGCCTCGGTCAGCATTTGCCCGAGCGAGAAGCCCAGCTGGTCCGTTCATGTCCAAATGCGCGACCAGGCCCAGGAAGGTTTGGCAATTAACCTGCTTTGCGCCCGCGTCAGTATATCAATGGCCCTAGGAAGCCTTATTGTCCTTCAAACTCGGTTGTAATCCAACTATGCATGGTCTATCACGATTCGGAACGATGGCCTCGAATTAATCCTGCGCAAAGAGCATCTTCCAAGGGTGAACCAAGGATACCATGAAATGGGACATGACGCCAGCGGATGGCCTAGGACGGACCCCAGTCAATCAGGATTGTGAGGTCAGCGCAAAATGGCATGGCAAAATCTTTCCGGCTTGGGCCCCAATTAAGG